ATCTCCCAGGAAGAGAGGATGTGTTGGAAGGGCTTCCAAGATAAGTCCTTATAGAAATATATATTAGTAATTATGGGTTAATAATTAAGTCAGAGCTAGCCATTAAGAAACCATAGCAAACAGCCAACAGCTTCATAATTAATATAGTGTCCTGCATGTTATTTGAGGGTGTGATGGGACCCAGGTGGGAATCCCACAACATACACACATACATATACATACACATACACACACACACACACACACACACACACATATATATGAGAGGAAAGCTTTAGAAATCCATGCAAGAAGTGAAAAATACAGAAGGAGTAGAAATAACATTGCACGAGCAGAAAAGTAAGCTAAATGCAGCCATACATCTCCCTGGCCAGAGACGATCTGGGGAGCTGCTTCCCAAAGCAGCCATCAGCCTATACAAATGAAAGCCCTGCAGCGTCCTGCTCAGGAGAAGCCCACATGGTCCTCGTGAAGTCTCAAATTCAGTGGTGAGTTTGGTGAGACGCTGATCCCTGCTGCAGACAGGAAAGCAGCAGAGACCAACGGCATCTTGTCGTGTCATCTCACTTAGGAGACACAGTTTCAAAGCTGTGCTGTCTGAGGCCCTGGGACCAGGGAGCATTCAGAAGTCAGGGAACCTGAATTTGGCCTAGACAGACGCTGTGAAGAGTAAAAATGTCAGACACTGACAACAAAAGTGTATGTATCCCAGGGATGGCTCAGACTGATCAGTACACAGAGAGACACCATCACCCTTGGTGGAAACGGGCCCCACCCACCGGAATTCCCTAAAACTGAGAGTTGTGAGTGAGAGGCCAGTGGATAGACCAGATTCCGCATGACAGCCATCTGTCTGTCACTCACAGATGGGCTGGGGACGTGGTCCGGCATAGGAGCACATCCTGCCCTTGCAGAGGGGACCTGTTTTCACTCCCATGTTGGCTGAATGGCCTGGGACTCCTGTTTCAGGGGATCTAATGGCACCTTGTGGCCTTTGAGGGTACCTGCACACAAGTGGTATACAACCAAACACACACACAAATATACATATGAATGAAAAATAATCTTAAAAATAAAAGAAAGAGCCGGGCGTTGGTGGCGCACGCCTTTAGTCCCAGCACTTGGGAGGCAGAGGCAGGCGGATCTCTGTGAGTTCGAGACCAGCCTGGACTACCAAGCGAGTTCCAGGACAGCCTCCAAAGCCACAGAGAAACCCTGTCTGGGAAAACAAAAAAAAAATAATAATAATAAAAATAAATAAAGAAAGAAAGCAAAGAAAAGAAAAGAAAAGAAAAGAAAAGAAAAGAAAAGAAAAGAAAGAAGAGTTAGAGAGAATGGGTCAGTCTTTCCATAGAATACTGAAGCAATTTTGAAGAAAATGCTGGTGTAAACATAGATCGTAACAGGCATCCTAAGGAAGTCTCAGATGGAAATGAAAACATTACTGAACAGAAGAGGCAAACCTGCAATAAACTTGCAAAGAACAAAAATCAAGTGTAGTGTGCTGCGCAGGGTGGGAGCTGTGAGCAGCGATACAACTGGTATTTATGAGGCTGGCACGACGGTGCATGCCTGTAATTCATGTACTGAGGCAGGAGAAGTGCTGTAGTTTGAGACCAGCCTGATCTATATAGCAAGTTCCAGGTCAGACAGAATCTACATAGAGAGTCTATTTTGAAACAGAACAAAAACACTACCACCATCAAAAACAATAATAACAAAATATGATCTTAGCAACATTTTGCTTTTACCTTTTAAGCCCCAACACCTGGCTTTATTTTTCTTTTAATAGGCCAAATATGGCTGGGGCTATAGCCCAGTTGGTAAAATACTTGCTTATCATGAACAGAGCTGGGTTTGATACTTAAAGCAGCTGTGGGGGTGCATTCCTGTAACCCCAACCTTGAACTCAAGACAGGGTGATGAGAAGTTCAAGGTTATCCTCAGCTATATAGCAGACAGTATGCTAAAGGCCAGCCTGGACTACAAACAGCCTCTATACAAAGCTGCAGGGGCCAGGCTGCCTGGCACAGCTCTGGGGGAAAGTCTCTCCTAGGTAGATCAGCAAGGGCAGGATCCCTACCACAGACAATTCAAAGGTCAACAGGATTGTGGGGGTTTGCATGAAAATGGCCCCCATAGGTGCGCAGATTTGAATAGTTGGTTACCAGGAGTGACATTGTTGGGGGGTGTGGCCTTGTTGGAGGAAGTATGATACTGGGAGTGAGCTTTGAGGTTTCAAAAGCCCATTCCAAGGGCAGAGTCTCTCTTCCTGCTGCCTGAATTTGGAAGTAGAACCGGCAGCTACTTCTTCAGCACCACGTATGACTACGTGCCACTATCTATGCTTCATGCCATGATGGTGATGGACCAAACCTCTGAAACGGCAAGCTGGCCTCAATGAAATGCTTCCTTCACAAGAGTTGCCATGGTCATGACGCCTCTTCACAGCTCTCGAACAGTGACGGAGACAAGGATGATTCTCAGGCCTTAAGATTTCATATAATGTGCCTTGTAATTTGCACTTATCTTAGACTTGCCATCTCTTTCTTTCTTATTTCTATAGATGTGAGCTTTTTACTCTATGCCTGAACCATAACTGTACTTTTTTTTGGGGGGGGGGACTGATATTACTCGGTAGCCAAGGCTGGCCTGAAACTCAAGTTATGGGATGACAGGCATGAGCCACCATTCTGGAGTCCATAACTGAACTTTGGAAGGCTATAGCATGTATCCTACAGGTGCACAACTGGGGAACAATTTCCCTTAAAATTATATATATATATATATATATGTATGTATATATATACATACATACATACACACACACACATATATATACATATATATACATATATATACATATATATACATATATATATGTATATGGATTGCTTTGTCACCTGTTGACATGACAAACTCCCCCAACAAAATCAACTCAAGGGAGAGAGGATTTGTTTTGGCTCACGGTTCAAGGGTGTGGTAATCGGGAACACGTGAATCCTGATGTCCTGATGGCAGGAGCCTGAGGCAGCTGTGACGTTGCTTGTCAGTCAGGAAACACAGACACATGTTAGCGCTCACCCAGCTTTGTACTTCAAGTGACCTAGCCAAGACAATCCCTGGCATGCCCTGGGGCTATTAAATTCATTAGAGAACCCCTTACAAGTACACTAAGTCGCTTGCCTCTTTAGAGATTCTAGATTCTGTCAGGCTGACAGTCAATACTAACCGTACTACCCATATCTGACTTAGATGAGGTTTAGTATTGAAAGCTGATGCCAGAAAACAGTAAGATTTGGAATGCAATGAGTATATTTCCATGTGAGAAGGAGAAGAACTGAGGAAGCAGGACTAGAATAGTATGATCACCCGTATTAATATCCTTCAACTATCCCTAATCATTGACTGTGGAAGCAGAAGTAGAATAGTATGATCACCCTTATTAATATCCTTCAACTGTCCCTAATCATTGACTGTGGAAGCAGAAGTAGAATAGTATGATCACCCGTATTAATATCCTTCAACTATCCCTAATCATTGACTGTGGAGCCTTCGGGCAGTGAGTAGATCATAAAATGGCGCCTCTATAAAAGGAACTAATGACTTTATAAAAGAGACTCTGAGTTGGGTATGGTATGAAGGCCTGTAAGCTCAGAACTCACTATGTAGCTCAGGCTAGCCTGCAACTTGTGAACGTCTTGTCTTAGTCTCTTCAGTGCTTTGATTATAACATGGGTGTCTTTACATCTGGCTGTAGGCTCTTTCAGTTGATTTTGATTTTGTTTTATATTATCACTATCCATTAAAAACAAAATTATACACAAAACATTATGCACACAAACACTGAATTGGATAAATACAAAACTTTTCCCTAAAAGCTTGCACTTGTAATATTCTCCTGTTGTTTGTTGTTAGCTGGATTCAGAAATTTAGTACTCAACAATAGAATGATAATTTAACTGAAGTAGAATAAGCTAGAAAAAGACCAACTTTTAGCACTGCTTGTACTGCTCATTTCCAAGCATGACTTCACTCTGACATCTGGAACAGAAGGACCTGGAGAAGAGCTAAAACACGATATGTCATTACCATTAGCAACCCGACCACAGAAGCTTATACCTGTCGACTGTAATATGTGTTTTTAGGGGAAAAAGCTGAGTGCCAGGCAGGGTTCTGTAAAACCTCGATTGCTCACTCACTTTTCCTTGTTGTTTTGGGGTATAAACTGGACCACAGACCAAAGACTTTCAGGAACTGTCCTGGCTCTGGTGACATCTTTATTACACTCTCACTGGTGTCAGAGTGCTTTTTCAAGAGAGATTCCCACAACATAACTACTGAAGAGAAATCAGCACTATAGCTAAGGAGTCATAATTGAAAGAAATTGTTAAAACACTGATAAAAGCCAGGCATAATGGCACATATCTATAGTTGCAGCACTTGGTAGGTCATAGTGCTACATAGTGAGTTTAAGAGCTATATGAGGCCCTTTCTAAAATAAACAGGACCTTATCTAAACAACAACAAAAAATAAGTAAATAGGCTAACCAACTACTTACTGATCAGATTTGCTGTCTGCTCTATAAAAGGCAATTCATGCCTACTATTGTAAACCTAGTCAAAAGCCCATCACGGGAGAGATCAGAGGTCCTGGGATGGGAAACTTACGATTTTTGTTTTGTTAAATGGACATGTCAAGCTTCTCTCTAGATATTTATGATTATACCCATGGATTAGGGCTGCTCTCAACTTTTGTCACGGAACCTTCTTTTCTTTCTGCAGTGAACAGCCGTCCATACAAAGGTTCAGCTGACCAAAGTGCTGAGAATAAGTGATTGGTGAATGCTCAGCCCTAAATGAGACATTTATATTAACCGTTTCCTGCCACCCCACTAAGACCCAGGGTACAATGCAAGAGCCGGAGGATGGCGTAGAAGTGCTGTCTTCTGAACATGACATGGACATTGCTCTCATGAAGTCACAGCAGCTACGATTACCTGTACGAGATCAATCCAGTCAACACTGCAGCATGGATGGGAGAGGGACTCAGAAGTTTCCCCCCCTATCTTAGGAGCTGTTGGCAGTGGTTGGCTGCTAGGAGGGTCGTTTTTCTTCCAGAGAATGGCTGCTGGTAGGTTGCCCATGCTCCAGTGCTTGGCCTCAAAGACGTGCACATGCAGGTAATACTAGTTGGACTCAGTGAGCTCTGAAAAACAAAAAAGAGAGGGTCCTACTGGGGAAAGTCGGAGGATTGGATATGATCAAGATACATTGTATACAAGTAAAGTATTGGCTTTTTTTTTCTTTTTGTTGTTGTTGTTTATTTTTTGAGACAAGGTTTCTCTGTGTAGCTTTGGAGCCTGTCCTGGAACTCAAATCTGTAGACCAGGCTTACCTCCAACTCACAGAGATCTGCCTGCCTCTGCCTCCCCTAGTGCTGGGATTAAAGGTATGTGCCACCACCATCTGGCTAAGGTATTGTTTTTTTTTGTTTTTTTTAAAAAATATTTTATTTATTTATTATGTATACAATCTTCAGCATGCCAGTAGAGGGCACCAGATCTCATTCAAGGTGGTTGTGAGCCACCATGTGGTTGCTGGGAATTGAACTCAGGACCTCTGGAAGAACAGTCAGTGCTCTTAACCGCTGAGCCATCTCTCCAGCCCCTGGCTAAGGTATTGTTAAAGAATAAAGATAAATTAGAATAAATTCACTTGTTCATTTGACCCTACCAGTTGAGCTATGCAGTGAGACCCTGTCTCACAAAATTAAACGATAACTCAACTGATGTGGCATCCATAAAATGAATAACTATTACAAGTTTAAAAAGAAAAAATATGGGGCTGGAGAGATGGCTCAGAGGTTAAGAGCACTGACTGTTCTTCTAGAGGTCCTGAGTTCAATTCCCAGCAACCACATGGTGGCTCACAACCATCTGTAATGAGATCTGGCGCCCTCTTCTGGTATTGCAGACATGCATGGAGGCAGGATGTTGTATTCATAATAAATAAATAAATCTTTAAAAAAAAAGAAAAAATATGATATATGTGGGTGGTATTGATTTATAAACATCTTATTTGGATTTCAAGAATACTGATGCTGGGGGTGGGGCTGATCCCAAAGGTCACTTATTATATGATTCTACTATACAGATTTTCAAATGACATAAATATAGTCAGGAAAAACATTAGAAACTGAAGAGAATTAGGAGGAGAGAGGGTTGGTATAGGTATGATATCAAACAGGAATAGCACTTAAAAGTTTAACACAGAACACACAAACACACACACACACACTAGTACATGTAAAAAAAAGTGAGATCTAAATAAGACTAGCTAAGTTACTTCATAGGCATCTACTTCCTATGTTTGTAGTATTAATGTATCATCTTACAAAACTCAATGAAATTGCTTGCCTACTTGGTGAATACCAGGCTAATATGACTCTGTCTCCATGGGAGTAGGGGGTGAGGAGTTGACAGAACCCAAAGTTGTCTTCTAGTCTTTATACTCACATACACCATACACTCATGTACACATCCACATACTAGTGTACACCCCAGCACAGGAACACACACATAAAAGGTCTGGGGTTAGCTCAGTGATAGAAGTCTTGTCTAGTATGTATGGAACGCAAGGTCCAATCTCAAAGTAAAGGGGAAAAAACCCCAAATAGAAATGTGTAGTGGCTTAACTTGTAGTAGTGGCCACACCCTTTGGGCCTGGTTTCAGGTGACCCCTTCAAGGCAGAGGAGTGGCTCTCTCCTGGGTGGCAGAAAGAGTTGTCAGAAGGGCAGAGACTGTATGTATCCTCTGGAGCAGGAAGGCTGCAGGTGCTTATTTACTCTTATCTGTGTTAAGTTCTTCCCCAGTAAAACACCTGCTTATCTTTTATCTTGGGTTTGGTGAACTCATTTAAACACCACCTTCAGAAATGCAAACTCATTATTTTCTCTTCAAACAAAGAAACCAAAAGCCTGACATTACGTAGCCTTTGTCTTAGTCAAGTTTCTACTTTCATGACCACAGCAGCTCTTCTAAAGGAAAGCAACTGGGGCTTGCTTTCAGTTTCATTATCTGCATGGCAGGTAGAGTGTGGCGGCACCCAGGAAGACAGCACACAGGTGACAGAGGAGCTACTGAGTCCTACATGGAGACCCACAGGCAGAAGGGAGAGAGGGAGGGAGAGAGAGAGAGAGAGAGACAGAGACAGAGACAGAAAGACAGAGACAGAGAGAGAGACAGAGAGACAGAGAGAGACAGAGAGAGAGAGACAGAGAGACACAGAGAGAGACAGAGAGACAGAGACAGAGAGACAGAGAGACAGAGAGAGACAGAGAGAGAGAGAGACAGAGAGACAGAGAGAGAGAGAGAGACAGAGAGACACAGAGAGACAGAGACAGAGACAGAGAGACAGAGACAGAGAGAGACAGAGAGGCAGAGACAGAGAGACAGAGACAGAGAGACAGAGAGACAGAGACAGAGAGAGACAGAGAGACAGAGAGAGACAGAGACACAGACAGAGACAGAGACACAGACAGAGAGACAGAGACAAAGAGAGACAGAGACAAAGAGAGACAGAGAGACGGCAAGAGGGCCATTAGGCTTGGCTTGGGTTTCTGAAACCTCAAAGTCCATCCCCAGTGACACATTTCCTCCAACAAGGCCACACCCAATTCAACAAGGGCACACTTCCTAATCCTAAACAGTGTCACCTATTGATGACTAAGTATTTAAATATAGGAGCCCATGGGGGGGCACTCTTATTCAAATTCATACAGTCAGTCAGTCTTGTAGGCTGCTTTCCTGAAACCCTTGCAATGCAAAAATGTGAGTGGTAAACCTTACTCTGTATTCAGTGGAATTGAGACTTGTACAGGTATGACAGCAAATGCTGGTGAGGCTAGCGTTTGGCAAGTGGAAGCAGGAGCATCAGGAGTTCAAGACCATCCTAACAGGTACATATCGAGCTCAAAGCTGGCTCGGGCTGCATGAGATCCCTTCTCAAGAAAAGCAAAAACAAAAAGCAGGGCCAGGCAGGGTGGTGCACGCCTTAATCCCAGCACTCAGGTGAAAGGCAGGGGGGTCTCTGTGGGTTCAACTCCAGCCTTGGTCTACAAAATGCATTTTGGGCCAGTTAGGACCACACAGTAAGACCCTGTGGCAAAAATAAGTAAAAAAGAAATAAACTGAGACTTTTGGTCTCACTAAGATAATAGCACTGCAAACTGTTTTCTTTTCCGATTTTTTTGTTTGTTTTTGAGACGTGATTTCTCTGTGTAGCCCTGCCTGTCCTGGAACTTGCTATGTAGACCAGGCTGGCCTTAAACTCAAAGATCCAGCCCGCCTCTACCTCCTGAGTGCTGAGATTAAAGGTGTGTGTCGAGGTTGCCCAGCTTTCAGTGTCTGAGAAAGGGTCTTGCTATGTCGTTATGGATGGCCAGGAACTTCGTTTGGATTACAAGCATGCACCAACTGAACGGGAAATCACACAATCCAATTAAGGACGAATGAAATAAAACCCAGTTCTATTCTTCTCTTTAACAAAGACTAGAAGACTTCAGGGCTGCCATTCATTTTCTGTTGTTTAAATACATTAAACTAGATGTGCTGGCTCATTATTTAAAAAAAAAAAAAACCAGGACTCAGGAGGTTAAGACGGGGTGGTGGTGGTGGTGGGTGGGGTAGTGGTGGCTGTAAGTTTGAGAGCAGTCTGGGTTATATGGGCTAGCCTGAGCGTCAGTGTGACCCAGGACCCAGTCTCAAAACAGTAGAAAAGTTAAAAATAATAGTAATAATAAGCAATAACAATAATTACTAATAGTCTCAAATTCCTGAGCGGGTGCAAGGGCTGGAGAGATGGCCCAGTAGTTGAATGCTTACTGCTTGTTCACCAACGTAACTCCAGCTTCAAACTTCTCTGTCTCTGTCTCACACACGCACACACACACACCCACACACACTCTGAAGTGGGAGGAGAGTTGGAGAAGAAGGGAGGAAAGGAAGGAGGAGGGAGGGAGACAGGGAGCACGAGAGAATCAGCTAAATGGTTAATAAGCTGCGGGGGGGGGGAGAAGAAAAAACCCGCAAGGGCAGCAAACGCGCGACAAAATTTAAAGCATTAAAAAAAAAATGACCAAAGCATGTGCTGCTGTGTTTGCAGGGACGCCTGAAAACTGGCCAGCGAGGCACTTCATAACGTTTTTCGGAAAACCTGTTTCTCCGGCATCGCTGGAGACACCAAATCTATGATCTCAACGTTCCCAGATCCAAGAGCTTCCAACGATTCGTGAAAAGAAACAAAACAAAACAAACAAACAAACAAAAAAAAACAAGAAAGGGAGGCCACTTAAAATGCCTAACTGTGGATGCCAAGAAGGGCGGCTTCGAGAAGTTTCCCAGTGGCATAAAGTAAGACGCGGCGGACTGAAAAGCTATCTATCTCATTCACCCGGTGTGTACACGGCGGTGCCCTACACTTTCCCATCCCACTGGGGAAACTGCACCGCCTCATTTCCACGCAGTCGAGCACCAGGCCAGCCGCGCGCTGACACCAAAGCTCGGTAACCATCTTGGGGCGGGAGCGTTACACAGGGAATGAAGGAAACACAAAGACAAACTCTCCCACACCACCCTGCTGCACAGCATCGCTAAAGAAGGGGCTAGTGGGGGAGGGGGGAGAAAAACAAAAACAAAAACAAAAAAAAACCGTGCTCACGTGGCGACGGAGGCCCAATGGCCGAGGCCCACGAGTGCCAGCCCGGCGCACGCGCAGACGGAACCCCGGGCCCCGCCTCCATCCCACCCCCGCCCCCCGGCGTCGCTTCGTCCGGGACGCACGGTCCGCGGGCGTCATCCCTCCCTCGGAGTCAGAATCCAGGGAATGCTTGGTTCCCGGCCGCACGTGGTTGGCGCCGCCCACGCCGCCGCCCCCGGAGCGGGTTCCTGATTGGTCGGCGCGGTCCGGGAGGCGGGCAGGGGACGTCTTTGGGAAGCGCACCACTTCCCGAAGCGCCAGGCAGGAAGTCATCCCGTGTGTCGCTCGGGTGCCGGCTGCGGTGACAGGAGAGCCCTCCGGCGGGCACCGGGGCACCGGGCGGGCGGGCGTGCGCTCCGGTCCCGCTGCACTTTGCGCGGCGGCCTCCCCCCCAGTCCACCCTCGCAGCGCCACGGCCCGCTCCGCCGGCCTCGATCCCGGCGCGGGGGGACGCTCCTGCCAGCTCCCCCCCGAGTCGCTTCTCCGGGGGCAGCGACCCAGGCTCGGCCTGGGCCTCCGGCTGGGGATCTGGCTCGGTGTTGCTGCTGCTGCTGCTGCTGCACAACCGCGACCGGTCTCGTCCTCCTCCTCCCCGTCGCGTGCGCCCTGCTGGCGGTGAGCGGTCGAGAGCCCCGTCCGGAGCGGCTGCCCGGGAGCCGGGACTAAGACATCTGCTGCTCCGCGTCGCCGCCTCCTGCTATGTCCCCGACCGTGTCTCACAAGGACAGCAGTCGGCAGCGGCGGACGGGCATGTTCAGCCACGCTCTGGACATGAAGAGCGGCCCGCTGCCGCCCGGCGCCTGGGATGACGGCCACGCGGACGCGGTGGGCGGGGAAGGGGACCGAGAAGCCCTCCTAGGGGACGCGGGCCCGAGCGACTACTCCCCCAAAGCCCCGCGGAGCTACAGGGCCGAGCTGGGCAGCATCCTGCTGCTGCTCTTCCTCTACGTGCTGCAGGGCATCCCCCTGGGCCTGGCGGGGAGCATCCCGCTCATCCTGCAGAGCAAGAACGTCAGCTACACGGACCAGGCTTTCTTCAGTTTCGTCTTCTGGCCCTTCAGTCTGAAGCTGCTCTGGGCACCGTTGGTGGACGCCGTCTACTTGAAGAGCTTCGGCCGCCGCAAGTCCTGGCTGGTCCCGACCCAGTACATCCTGGGGGTCTTCATGATCTACCTGTCCACCCAGGTGGACCGTCTGCTCGGAAATACGGACGGCGGGGCCCCCGACGTGGTCGCCCTCACGGTGACCTTCTTCTTGTTTGAATTCCTGGCCGCCACGCAGGACATCGCCGTGGACGGTTGGGCGTTAACGATGCTGTCCCGGGAAAATGTGGGCTACGCTTCCACCTGCAATTCTGTGGGCCAGACGGCGGGCTACTTCCTGGGCAATGTTTTGTTTTTGGCTCTTGAGTCGGCTGACTTTTGTAACAAGTATTTGCGGTTTCAGCCTCAGCCCAGGGGAATCGTCACCCTTTCAGGTAGTGTACCTTAATGTTAATACAGTACTGCTAAGTTTATTTTGCGATCACGACGGAACTTTTGATGGGATCTCTCTTTTGGCTGCATTTAATTTCTTTTTAATGATGCGCAGGATATTTTGCTTCATTTCCCTTTAAAAATTAGCGCAGTATTGGCGCTCATGATGAGGTTTTTCACACATGCATATATGTACTTCACGCCCTCTTCCATAACACATCCCTCCCTCCTCCTCCCTCCCTCTTCCTTCAAACAGCATTCTGAGTTCAAGATCCGTGGGCGTTTGCCTGATGTACAGGTGCACAGTTTAAAAATATTCACACTTTAAGCACGGGTCCCATTTTTTTCTTTTGTGTGTTTGTGGATTGAGATTTCTGGCCCCTTCTGATCTATTTCCACCTTCGTTTCACAAGTAGCCCTCATCCAGCAGTCTGCTGAGTGGCAAGGGGAGCTAGTGTGAGCATTCTTAAGTTGGCTAAGCGACAGGGCCTCCTGCAAATCAGAGTGCCTGCCAAGTAGGAACCATGGAGATGAACACTGGAACGGCCCAGAACAGCCAGCCATTGACTGTGGTAGAGATAGCAGGTGCCATTATTCATGGTTGGTTCTTTTCTTAGGCCGGATGCTGTTTTTTGAATAGCTGTTTGAATTGCTGGAATGTGAACTTTGTTTTCCAGAAGATTCTAAAATGGCTTGCTTTAGCGTTTGACTTTCCTGTCTCTAGTGGACTTTTGATTTTGTTTAAACATTTTGGGTTGAAGAGTTTTAGATTTTAATGCCTACACATGTCACATTAACTAGTTTTGAGGTCTCTGTAACTTGGTAATAGTGAAACTATAGTCTATGGATTCTGTTTCTATTTGTGTGCCCCTGGTGCTGGGAAATGAACCCAGCACTCCTGCGTGAAAGGCAAACTGTGGTAAGTCCCTATCCCATTAACCAGTGGGATTTTTTTTTCCTTTTCCAGCCCTCTCAGTGCTAGGGCAATTGACCTTTGTCTAGTCCTTAGTTTTTTAAAGGAGTCTGGACTGGTATCAAACTTCCATCCTTCTCAGGATCCACATACTTAAATCATGCACCACCGTGACCAGTTTAACTAGCTAATGGTTTTGAGGAATTTAAAGAAGATGGGGTCAGCCAGGTGGTGGTAGTGCATGCCTTTAATAACCCCAGCACTCATGGAGGCAGGTCTCAGTGAGTTCAAGGCCAGCCTAGTCTACCAAGTGAGTTCCAGTCCAGCCAGGACTGTTACACAGCAAAAACAAAAAACATGGAATCATATGAAATACCATTGCCTAGGTAGATAAAGAGATAAATACACACTATCTAGAAAACCTCCGTATTAGAATCCATAACTTAAAAACAGAAAAGCCAAGGGCTTGAGAGATGACTCTGATTAAGAACTCTTGTTTTTGCAGGGGTCCTGAGTTTGGTTCCTAGTACTCATGTAGCAGCTTTTAACCCTTTGTAACTCTAGTTTCAGGGAATCCAGTACCCTATTGTGGCTTCCACGGACACCAGAAACACAAAGTGCATTCACATACAGGCGAAACACTAATTTTACTCATGAAAGTAAAGAAACCTTTAATTTTTTATTTCTGTGATTAATTACAGGTACTGTAGAAGGAATATTCCGGGAAAGAACAGTTTGGACATTTAGAAACAGCAATCTACAGAACACACTGAGAACAGGAACGATGGGATGAGATAAAATCTTGAGGAAACAAAACCTTGGTTCCCCTGACTGGCTTTTTCACAGCTTCAGGACAGTCCCAAACTCAGAAGTAGGCTTTTTCTTTTCTTATACCCATTGTTTTTCAAGAACCCTCACAGACAAAGAGAGACCCTTTAAGCAGCAAGGGGTAAGAAATTCACAAGGACACACACACAAAAAAGATCCATTTGTTTCTTCATTTTTATGCTGAGGAAACTGCTGTCAAGCTGCTAATTAGAGACATGAACTTGGAGGTTAGATGTTCCATGGCTCTTACTTAATCTAATATTTTGCCTATCATTGGTAGGAAGTTAGAAAAAACCTCAAGGAAAACCTTAAGATCTCTGTATGTGCTGATGAGGCTGCTTTTGTTGTTTTTCAGACAAATACAGCACTGTGTCTCCATATATCTGAAAACTCACCCACTTTTAGATTTCCTGGTTCGCAGAAATGATAGGATAAAGTTTTAATTTTTTTATTTTTTTATTTAATTTTAAATAGCTTGCTTCACATGTCAATCCCAGTTCCCTCTCCCTCCCCTCCTCCTACACCCCCCACCATCCCTCCCAGCCTCCCACCCTATCCCCACTTCCTTCCACATAGGGGATATCCAGAGTCTGTCATTTCACTCAGGGCAGGGTCCAGGCACTCCCCTAAGAGTCCAGGCTGCGAGAGCATCCCTCTTTGTGTTATGGACACACGAAGTCCATTTGTATTCCAGGGATAAACACTGATCTACTGCCCAGGGCCCCATAGGTTGCCCAGGCCTCCTCACAAAGTTTAATTTTTTAACTGACTGAGGCTGAGCCACCATGTGGGTTCTGAGGACCAGATGTGGGGTCCTCTGGAAGAGCAGCCAGTGCTCCTAACTGCTGAGCCACCTCTCCCTCCCCTACATGACTTTTAAATTTGTTTTTAAAAGAAGTATGCCTCTAATGAATAACTCATTTTTCTCTCCATGCTTGCCAGCATTTGGTATTCTTGGTGTTTTTCACTTTACTGTGAGAGTTTCATAAGTTAGGTTTACAGAATAATATGAGTTATAAAGGAATATTTAATCTGATGTGTTTTAATTTTGATTTTTGGGATAGTCTTAGGCAGTCCTGGCTACTCTGGTCACTGTGTAGACCAGGCTGGCCTCAAACCCAGAAAGACCCGCCTGCCTTGGCCTCTGCCTCCCACGTGTCAGGATTAAAGGTGTGTGCTACCTTGCCTGGTCACAATATCCCTAAGAAGCTGTCACCCTGTAAGATTGGTGTTGGAGAATATCCATAGCATGAAGTGCCAGTCACTGTAAAATTACACCGTGAGCTCCACAGTGACACCACATATTAAGATATGTAAGACTAATTCTAAAAATCTTTGGGGTTGATACATTGTTTATTTATGTGTGTGTATGTGCGCGTGCACACTTACGTCCATGTGTCTGTGGAGGTCAGAAGACAGCTTTGTGGAGTGGCTGAACCGTCTTGGCAGGTCTCTGACCCTGAGCTTCCAATGAGTTGTACTGCTCTTCTCCTTATGAAGTGTATGTGTGTCTGTAAATGTTTTCTTTCTCTGCATAGCACTGGCTGTCCTTGAACTTGCTCTTTAGTCCAGGCTAGCCTCAAACTAGATACACCTGCCTCTACCTCCAGAGTGCTGGGACCAAAGGCATGCACCACCATTGCCTGACCAGCCTTTATATTTTTACTCACCAGTGGTAAATTGCTACACATTTTGAAACCTGCATTCATGGAGGCATTAGGCAAGCTCTTGTAGGCACTTTAGAATATTCAGTTAAAAGTCATGTTTGTGAAGGGTGGACGTCAGCTCTGCCATCGTGGTCATGTTGGAGAGCTGATGGTATACTCTCACAGTGATTGGTACTCTGTGTACACTGTACTCGGGAAGTGATGTAGATACCAACAGTCGCAGTCAGTGTGTTTGGTGGCTGTGCTGCAGCCGAGGTTAAGCCTTTCTTTCTGAGCTGCTGGCTTTCGTCCCCACTGCACTTTTTTCTGGCTCTGTGAGGGTCCCATGCGGCTGCTTCCTGTTCTTCATGCTGTTGTTTTTCCCTCCAAGCTCCAGAAGTCAGCAACAGTCTTTCCTGTGCATACAACACCCATCTGTTGACATTGCCATAAAGGGATTCAAATTCTAGGTGCAGATTTGTTTTTGTTAAAATCGCTAAGATTGCAAAGCACTTTCCTTGAGAAGTGAGGCTCTTAACCTAAAGTGTAACTGAAGACTCCATACTTTTCATTTAATTCTTTTTTGTTTGTTTTCTGTTTTGTTTTTATTTTTGGAGACAGGGTTTTTCTATATAGACCTGGTCATTTAATTCCTACCAAAAACTTTTAATTGGAATTCCTGTGGGCAGCCTTTATTAAGGCACCCCCCAAAAACTTTCTTAATGAAAATACTGCCGTAAGTGAAACTCTAAACACATCATCATTTGTCTCCTTTTAAGATTCAATATTTTTTTATTTTCATTTGTGTACGTGAGGGTGGGTGAGTATACACGTGAGTGCAAGTGTACTTGGAGGCCAGAGGCACACTGGAGCTGGACTTACAGGCCACCAGGAGTGAGTACTGGGAACACTTTGAGACAAATGTGTTCGGGTCTGAGCCAAGGGGCAACTCTAAAGCCAGGTTCTTGGTGAGCTCAGACAGCACTTGGCAGTTTATCATACAGAGGGGACTTGTGTAAAAATGCTTCATATATTTATATCGTGTGATATGTGCTCTATTCTGGCCTGTGCATAATGAGGATTCTTGTAGATGATTCTCTCTAACCCATACGTTTGTTAAAAGCTCTTTCCGTGAAACAGTCCAGACAGCTTATCATGTCTACATCTGTCATCTACAGATACTGCAAAGAGGTTAATCTTTATTAAAGAGATTAAACATGATCAAAAGTTTAGAAATAAAAAAAAATTTACATTATGAGCTGGCAAAGAGAGCTCAGTAGGTACTAACTGTGCAAGACTAACCATCTGAGTTCAATCCATTCAATCTACTGTGGAAACAGACACCCTCCCTTCCCCAGGGCTGTTCTGACCTCTGCATGAACCTGCACCTGCATTCTGACACACACACACGCGCGCGCGCGTGCGCGCGCGCACACACACACGCACACGCACACGCACACACACTCACTTCGGGAAGGAGATTTTGAAGCAAATAATCACGTGGTTGGTTTGGTATGAAGTGTTTAGCTTTTTTATTTAAAAGCAGGGCTACATATATGGGGTTGGCTTCAAACTCACTGTTTAATGAAGGATGACCTCAACTGTTGATTCTTCTGACTCTGCGTCCCAAGTGCTAGCATTACAGGGATGTTTCAGCACACCTGGCTACTTTTCTTTTTTGAGGCAGTCTTGCTTGGCTGGCCTTGAATTAACTTTGTAGCCCAAGCTAGCCTCAAACACTCTTGTGTCAGCCTCCTGAGTGCTGGGAGTACAGGCATGCACCACCGTGCTTGTTCAATCATGCACTCCTTATCATCTAAATTGCCACAGTTTAGCACAGGAGATACTTGGGTATAGAAGTATAACTAATGAACCTTATGTGATGTGAAAACAATTTCTTTCCTCTACCTAAAAAAATTTAATTACATCTGTAACCCACCCCTCAAGGTAAGTATCAGTCAGTTTTGCCTATTTGTCTATAGAGTCAGAACTATTTCATTTATCTGCTATGACTCAAAGTTTACAGCATAAAATTTAATGTATTTTGCTTAAGGAAAGTTGTATTTTATTTAGTACCAATGAAGTTACATTTCAAAAATTAATTATAGACTAAAACATTCTGAATTTCAGATTTTCTTTTTTTCTGGGGAACTGTATTTTTAATAACAACGACATTAGTAGCTCTTCTGAAAAAAGAAAACAAAGAAGTGTCAGTAGTAAAAGAAGAGACACAAGGGATCACAGATACTTACAAGCTACTGTTTGCAATCGTAAAAATGCCAGCAGTTCTGGCATTTTGCCTTCTGATTCTGACTTCAAAGGTAAGATTTTAAAACAAATTTATCATTATCATGGAATACTTTCAATGTCTTTTCATAAGTCCCCTTCTAGTACCATAGGATTTAACAATGGAAAGCAATATTTCCTGCCTATTAAGTACATTTTTAAAGTGATGATCAGATATCACTTCTCAGTAAGCTGTATGTCTTGGAAGCTTGAAGTTACACCCATGTGAAAATACTGTTACAGTAGTAATGGTTGGATGAGAATGAACACCTTGAAGTGACAACAGCTTTCTACTGCTATAAGGAGCGTGCCCTTAGCATTGTGGTAGTAAAGTCATTCAGGGTGAATGTGGCTTACAAAAATAAGGAAGTGTATGAGTATTTAAAAATATACTGTTTTTTTTAAATACTGAAAGGAAATCCACAAATGGAATTGCTTCATTAAGATGTCTTTGCTTAGTCAGGTGGTGGTGGCCCACACCTTTAATCCCAGCACTCACGAGGCAGAAGCTGACAGATCTTTGAGTTCAAGACAGCCTGGTCTACAGAGCAAGTTCCAGGACAGCCAGGACCACACACACCGCCCCTCCCCGCAAGTCTTTACTTAGCCAGATGTGGCTAATGCCTGTGGTCCCAGTATGGGGGAGGTTGAGGCAGGAAGATCAATTCAGGGTAGGTCTCAGTTTTGTAGCCCTAAAACTTTTAAAGATATTATGCCAGAAGCAAGGTAAGTATATTTTGCTATAATAGACTGTACCATATTCCCAGAGTCTAGACTTTTACAGTAATTTTTAAAATCCATCTACATGAACACTCTACAGCTGTCTAGAGTAAATCCTGTAGCTTCATTGCTTTCATTTTAATGAGTTGCTCCTCTTTAATGATGGAGAAGTAGTTAGAAGAAAGACTCAGGAATGATAAATTATATTCAGTCACGTCATTTAGAAATGAACACTTTTTGGCTTGTTCCTTTGTTTTCTATTGTTTTTGAGATTGGGTCTCAGCCTACAGCCCTTGCTTGCGTAGAACTCACTGTGTAGGCCAGGCTGACCTTGAACTCACAGAGATCTTCCTGCCTCTGCCTTTGGTGTGCTGGTTTTTTTTTTTGAGCTCCTTTTCTCTATTGTATGTGTGCATGTATCAGTATATATACATACCTTATATATATGTTTACACAACAGTTCAAAAGTAGAATTGAATCATATTGTGTATAATTTTATAATTCTTTTTGTCTTATTCCAGACATATCCCTATATCACTCAGTATTTCAATAGCTACATTAATAGTCACAGTATATAAATTTACTATGGGTTTTTTAGTGAGACAATATTATATAGTCCAGTGGCCGACTTTAAACTTAGTATGTAGCTAATAATGATGTTGAATAGTTTTTAAAACATTTATTTATTTTTATATGTGTATGGGTGTTTTGTTTGAATGTATATATGTACACATGTATGCAGTGCCTGTGGAGGCCAGAAGAGGGAGTTGGATCCCCTGGAACTTAAGTTACAGATGGCTGTGAACTGCCACATGGGTGCTGGGAACTGAACCCAGGTCCTCTGGAAGAGCAGCCAGGGCTCTTAACAGCTTAGTCTTCTTCCAAGCTGAATGCTGAATGTGCAACTCCCTTCCTCCGTCTCCCAAGGGTTAGGTCTGTAGTGTGCATCCCGTATATCTTATGTTAAGATTTATAGTGGTAGTTTGTTCATTCCGTTACTCTAAATTCCATGTATGAATATGCCAGTGTTTATTTTTCAAGAGCTGTGTAGGTGACTGTGGTTTACTGTGAATAGTACTTCTGTAAATATTCATGTAGGTGATTTTTTTGTGAGCATATATTCTTATTACCAGGTTATAGAAATTACATAATATGTACGTCTAGGCAGCTTTTTAAAATAGTTGCTCTGCTAGGACAGTGAGGTAGGGCCAGAGAGACCTGTAGGGCCTGAGCAGTTTCTTTTCAGAGTCCTGTCTACTCGGGTGAAGCCGGGAAAGAAATTCTGTTTTCAGGGCGAATCAGTGTAAAACAGTTGGAAAATTGGAGGAGCTTAGGGAAATGAGATCATAGGCTGATACCTGAGATGCATTGGATGGGAATAAAGCTCATAAGGTAACAACTTAGTCACAAGATTTGCAGGGGGGTTAAGATGCTGTTACAGTAAAGAAAAGTTAGTAGTCTTTTGGGATTGCCAGCAAGTGTCTGGGAAATGAGTGGGACTGTACTGCAAGGTGTTACAGATTAGTCATTATGCATGGCTCATTGTATCTTGACATTCTTACTTTAAAATCATTACCTAAAAAGGATTTCTCTGTATAGGGAGTCTTTACAGCAAATGTTAATTGCATAGCAATTCCTTTTCTCCCTCTTAGTTAATACTGTCTTTTGAGAACTTCAAAAGTGAGCACCGACTCTCCCTCATTCCCGCACTGTCTCCCTTCTCCAAAGCCTCCCACGTTCCAAATTCAGGATTCTTCATCATCATCTTCTTCCTTCTTTCCTTCCTACTTCTTTTCGAGAAAAGGTTTCACTGTGTTGTGTAGCCCTGGCTGTCCTGCATCTCACTCTGTAGTAGACCAGGCTGGCCTCAGACTCACAGAGATCAACCTGCCTCTGCCTCCGCCTCCTGAGTGCTGGGATTGAAAGTGTGAGTCAGCACCTCCTGGCTTCATGATATCTTCTTTGTTACTGTATGTGCATATGCATATATGTGCATATATAATCCACTGAGCCCTTTTAAAAGCTTTACTTGTGTGTTTGTGTGTCCAGGGCTGACCTCTTAGGATTAGACAACCTCTGTGGGAAGTTGTACTGGGAGGAGACTAATTCTCCCTCTCTCAACAGTCATTGACTACCTGTGGCTCTTCATCTAGGAGTGGAATCTTGTGGAATTTCCCTTGTCTATGCTATCAGGTTAAGTTGTGTTGTTATTATACTGGTCCTATTTAGGCAGCTGTATTTTTCTCATTTTGTAAATTTTACTTATTTTTATTTATGTGCATTGGTGTTTTGCTTGGCTGTCGGATCCCCTGGAAATGGAAATACAGACAATTGTGAGCCGCCATGTGGGTGCTGGGAATTGAAACCAGGTCCTCTGGACGAGCAGTCAGTGCTCTTAACCAGTGAGCCATCTCTCCAGCTCCTAGGCAACTATGTTTTAACAGCTCCCCTGTCGTACCTAAGAGGCTTTCACAGCAGATGCTCTGTTGTTTCGAGTGTTCTGCTCTTTCCACCTCCTCTTCCTCAGCTTCCCCTGAGCCTTCCTGGTAAGTAAGATGTGTCAGTTGGGGTTGGACACCACACGTTCAGTTGCTCTCTGCGTTTCTGACTAGTCGTGGAGCTCTCTTTAGTCTCCGTCTGTTGCAAACAGAAACTTACTATGGGTTTAAGGAGCCGTATTCAGAATGTAGTTAGAGAAAATGCTCTGATTTAGGAAAATGGCAGTGATCTGTTTTCCTCTCAGGTCTCAGCTCTGTGATCTCTCCACTCACAGATAGCTGTCTAGGTTTATAGTACTAGGCGTGTATTTCCCACTGTTGAGTGAGCCCTAAGTCTGATTAGATACTGTTTATTACTCGCTAAATGAAAGTGTCACCATTGCGCCATTTCAGATATCTTTCCAGTCCAGTTCCTGTTGTGGTTCATAGACTTTACAGTGAGGTAGGACAGCTGGCAGTTTAAACAGCACTGTCTGATACTGTGAGACCCAGTCCTGGGGTGGGGGGCTTCCAGATCAGTTCTTGTGCCGAATGTCTTGTTTTTCTGCTAGGATCTCACTATGTATTTCTGACTGAGGTAGAACTCCCTGTGTAGACCCATTGGCCTCAAACTCACAGATTCCCAGCTCTCTCTGCCTCCCTTGGGTTAAAGGCTGGCGCCACTGTGCCCCGCCCTGTGCTGGAGTAAGGGGCTTCTTCTCCTTTCCTGTTAGTTTTCCCTTTCTGTCCCCAGTTCCAGCTCTCTCACTTCCAACAGTGTGAGCTGATTGTTTCCCATCCTTGAAAACACTTAACTTAATTTTTACAATTCTGTCGAGTATGGGGGGCACCTTGTTATGTCTATAATTTGCATTTACTAGATGTTAAGGAAGTAGAACATCTTTCATGTTGTTTCTGCCTATTTGACTATCCAAAGTTGTGTTGATCTTTAAATTGTAAAAGGTATTGGCCGGGCGTTGGTGGCGCACGCCTTTAATCCCAGCACTTGGGAGGTAGAGGCAGGCGGATCTCTGTGAATTTGAGACCAGCCTAGTTTACAGAGCGAGTGCCAGGATGGGTTCCAAAGCTACACAGAGAAACCCTTGTCTTGGAAAAAAATATGTGTGTGCTTGTGTATGTCACACACACTGAACATATTATTTTGTTAGCTATGTATATTACAAATATCCCTACCATAAATCTTTTAAGAGTAAATGTTTAGTTATTTTACATATCTGAGTCATACAGAGGGAATATAATGCAAATGAGAATTATGCACTAATTATAATTAATCTTTGTGTTTTTCTTTTATGTGTGTGGGTGTTTTGCCTGCGTGTGTGTCTGTACACCACATGTATTCCTGGAGGTCAGAAGTGGGCATCAGATCCCCTGGGACTAGCGATGGTGGTGATTGTGAACCACATGTGGGTGCTGGGAATTGAACCAAGGTCCTCTGGAAGAGCAGCCAGTGCCATCTCTCCAGCTATACCTAAAGGCATGCCACTTCAGCCAACGGGGTTTTCCTTCTTTGAATAACAGAGTCTCACTGTGTAGCCCGGACTGTCCTGAAACTTACTGTATAGACTAGGATGGCTCATAGCAGTCTGCCGCCTGCTGCTGCTGCCTCATAAAGGCTGGGATTAAAGGCCTGGATTGAACTTTTTCAACATGGAAATTAGTTGTAATTAGAACTATCTGCAGTTCTACCACTATTGCATTTTCAATCGCTTTCACTATATAGAACTAGTAAACCATAGTGCAAAATATACCTTCTATAACTTGTCAGCTGTGCACTTGTGACTGACAGGGTCACTGATGAGACTGAAGGTTTTACAGGACTTGCGTGTGTTCTGACATGGGCCTCTCGTGTGTCGGAAGCTAACCCTCTCCTGTCCGTATGTTGCAGATTGGCTTTTCAGCAGCAGACGCCGTGACAGGCTTGAAACTGGTAGAAGAGGGGGTGCCTAAGGAGCACCTGGCCTTGCTTGCTGTCCCCATGGTGCCTCTGCAGATAATCCTGCCGCTGATCATCAGCAAGTACACCGCGGGTCCCCAGCCACTGAACATATTCTACAAAGCCATGCCCTACAGGTAATGACAGAGCCTGACACACAGCAGAGGTGTTGTGCCCGGGGTTGTGCAGCGCAGAGGAGAGCGTGCGGGAGGGAGGGACCAGGGAGGGAGGCATGGCGCGGCTCCAGTGTCGGTGTCACTAGATAGATCCACTTTTTCTCTTTCTAGCCTTCTAGCATGTCCTTTTGTTATTGGGGGCGTGGCAGCATTTTACTTTATTTAGTTGTTGTTTTGAGCAATGTCTCACTGTTTGTGTAGCCCTGGCTGTTATGGAATTTACTGTGTAGACCAGGCTGACCTGAAGCTCAGAGATCCATTTGCCTCTGTCTCCTGCTCCAGCCATTTTATTTATTTTTATTTCTTTGGTTGTTCGAGACAGGGTTTCTCTGTATTGTTTGGAGGCTGTCCTGGAACTGGCTCTGTAGACCAGGTTGACCTCGAACTCACAGAGATCCTCCTGCCTCTGCCTCCTGAGTGCTGGGATTAAAGGCGTGAGCCACCAACACTTGGCTGCCCCAACCATTTTTAAGACAGATTACTTTTTCATGTACAATGGATGTCAACTCATGTTTCTTTCTTTTGTAGATTATTGCTTGGATTAGAATATGCCCTACTTGTTTGGTGGACTCCTAAAGTAGAGCATCAAGGAGGATTCCCCATATATTACTATATCATAGTGCTGCTGAGTTATGCATTACATCAGGTGAGCTAAGAGGTAAACTGTTGAGTGAAATGATGGTGTGTGTGTGGTATGCAAATGATTATGTAAGTGGCTGGGCCCTTGGGCACACGTGTAAAGGCCAGAGCAGGATATTGGTTGTCTTACTCTATCATTCTCTGTGTTGCCTTGAAACAGGGTTTCTCACTAAACTGGAAGCTTGCCATTTTGGCGAGGTGACTGGTGATCTGCCTTTTTCTGCTCCAGAAGCTGGCGTTACAGGCACTCACTCATTCACGCATGAGCATCTGAACTCAAGTCCTCATAGTTGTAGAGGAAGTTTTCTTACATACTGAGCCATTTTCCAGTTCCTGAGAGAAAAATTTCATAGCTACTTCAATGAAGTTCAAGGTTTCCCCGTTAAGATTAACAATGAAATAATTTGATATGGGCCTCTCTAGTCTAATGTCTTTCAACTTAGTGTTAGTCATGCAAAGGAGTTTGTTTATCTATTCATTTTTCTTTAAATTGTTCCTTTATCAAGAATTTATTATATTTCAGAATTTATTACAGTGCTGACTAAGTTGACCCTTACTCTGTATACCGTGGTCCATTCTTAGATGTAGGGGAAAGTGTTTGTGTTTGCTTTGTTTTGAGATAGGGTCTGCCCATATGACCAAGCCTAGGTTTAAACTCACCGTGTAGCTCACATTGGTCTGCAACCGGAACTCCCATTGACTTTCCTGCCTCATCTCAGTCTTCCCCATGCTGGGACAGTAGGCGTAATCAACTTATCTTTTCTTAGGATAGAGGGAGGGATACTGGATTTAAGTAGTCTTTGACTTACAGTTTGTATTAAAAAAACTTTTGAAAGTAAGATATATAATAACTTCTTGATTTTTGACTGAAACTTGGACAGTCTCAACAGTCCCCGTCCTCGCCCCATACCATTAAATAATTTAGAGTCTAGGTATGGCAATGCCACACCTGTAATCCCAGCATTTTAGAGGTGGAGACAGAAAGATCTGGAGTTCACGGGCAGTCTTGGTGATGTAGTGAATTGGAGACTAGCCTAACTACATGAGACTCTGTCTCAAAAAAACAAAACAAAACCAGTCAGTCAGTCAATCAATAAAGACTTTCACAGTGGATCATATCTTACCAACTATATGTTTGTAAAATTATTGGGACCAGTATGTCAAATACATATTTCTGTTTTGCACAGAGTTAATACTAGGTACAAAATGGAAATTAAAAAGAAGCATTTGATCCAGTCAGTAGTCTCAATGTGTACCTAGGGAAAGAAGTATATGGACTACATTATTATAGTCCAAAGGCTTATCTATGTGGATTTTGATTTTTCTAGGAGAACTTCTTAAAGTACAGTCAGACTTTAAGGGAGAAAAAGATTCAATGCCTCTTAGACATGAGGAATGATGTGTGATATATGGCAGCAGCGTCATCATTTCTTTTTTTTTTTTTTTTTTTGGTTTTTATGAGACAGGGTTTCTCTGTATTGTTTTGGAGGCTATTGGTCCAGCCTGGCCTCGAACTCATAGAGATCCACCTGCCTCTGCCTCCCGAGTGCTGGGATTAAAGGCGTGTGCCATACCGCCCGGCTACGTCATCATTTCTGATGTGTTAATGACCTGGTGTTCCGTGACAGCAGCTGTCCTGAGTGCTGAGTGTAATTGAGTCAGTCAAACCAAAGTTTTTGCCGTTAGTGCAGTTCATGTAGTAAGGGCATCAGCGAGCCCACTGTGAAAGGCAGCTGCTCAGTTTCGTGGGACTTACTGCCTTCCGTGCAATGTGACTTTTCTCCACGCTTAGCTGCCCCAGCCCCTCATACCCACTTTGGAATCCCATTTTTATAAACACTTCATGGAGCACTCCTCAGAGGAATATTGTTTTGGAAATAATTTCTACCTTTCTAATGAAGGGTTAATTAATTTTTGCCCCTTTTTGGTTATGTTTGAGACTGTTTGTCCCAGACCAGCCTTAAACTTGAAATCATCCTGCCTCTGCCTCCCAGGTGCTAGGATTAAAGATGTGTGTTTCCATTCCTGTCTCTCAGTTTTTATCACCTGAGGCTTTTTTTCCCTGTCTCTCTCTAATTTGTTTTACAAATTTTGAGATGATATTCTTCAACATCATTTATCAAAATTTTTGGAGTATGCTACATATCCATATTTTGTTGTTTACTTCAGTAATATGGATGTATAAGTGTATATATGCATATATGATACATTTAGGTGCACATATATGATATATTTAGGTGCACACATATGATACATTTAGGTGCACACATATGATACATTTAGGTGCACACATGATACATTTAGGTGCACACATATGATACATTTAGGTGCACACATATTATACATTTAGGTGCACATATATGATACATTTAGGTGCACACATATGATACATTTAGGTGCACACATATGATACATTTAGGTGCACATATGTGATACATTTAGGTGCACACATGTGATACATTTAGGTGCACACATGATACATTTAGGTGCACACATATGATACATTTAGGTGCACACATGATACATTTAGGTGCACACATGTGACACATTTAGGTGCACACATATGATACATTTAGGTGCACATATATGATACACTTAGGTGCGCACATGTGACACACTTAGGTGCACACATATTATACATTTAGGTGCACATATATGATACACTTAGGTGCGCACATGTGACACACTTAGGTGCAGGACCAGTGAGAACTGTGTTTTATACGTCCCGCAATGCCGCCTTTCCTGTCACTTCCCCTTGGTCCCCTTTGCCTGTAAATGCAGAATGAGTCTTTTATCTTTGTCCTAGGAGCACAGTGTGTGCACTTCTAGTATGTTTTATCTTAAGCCTTTATTTCCTGTTTCTCCAGTGTATAATATATTCAAGGGAATAGTAGTAATTTTTAAATTCATCTTTATGCCATCATGTTCTTAAAGTATGGCTTATATAGTGTGTACTCCATAAATTTTGGTTGAATTGAATTCAGTAAACATTATGAAAATTAATTTTAAGTTTTATGATTTTGATATTCCTAATACAAGGCATAGTTTTACGAGTCTGACCATAGAAGTCAGAAAACAGGACTGCATAGTTTATGCTTCCCGCCTGTGTCCCATGCTCAATGCCAAATACCCTACACACACACACACACACACACACACACACACACACACACACGCAGACACACGCGCACACACACCTGCAGACACACGCAGACAAGAAAACCTCCTTCCACCATTCCAGTGTCCCCTTCTTTTATAGGTCACGCTGTACAGCATGTACGTGTCGATAATGGCTTTCAATGCCAAGGTCAGTGACCCTCTTATTGGAGGAACGTACATGACGCTCTTAAACACTGTTTCTAACCTGGGAGGAAACTGGCCGTCTACAGTAGCGCTTTGGCTCGTGGATCCCCTCACAGTGAAGGAGTGTGTAGGAGCGTCAAACCAGAATTGTCGAACACCTGATGCTATCGAAGTAAGTGTGTCTTAATTTCTAGCATGAAAATGGATTTTTTTTAGCTCTGTCATAATTAAGAGTAGTTATAAATTTGTATCTGTAAGACTAACTTAGGTAAAGGTGCTTCCTTCTCAGCCAAAGAGCAGTCTCCCCCATACTGAGGGTTGCTGAACTGCTCAGAAATGCAAAAATCATAGCTAACGTTTACAGTGCTAAGAAAGGGAATCCTGGCTCTTCACACACAGCAACTGTAGGTGAAGCTGAATGCTGAGTGTTTCATTGGTAAATTACCTCAAAGTAATATTACTCATGGACCAGCCGTGATCAGGCAGAGACACGCAGGTCTCCATGAGCTCCAGGCCAGCCTGGTCTACATAGGGAGTTCCAGAACAGCCGAGGCTACATCATAATGAGACCACAATTGTCTCAGATAGGCCAAATTAATTTTGTTGGTAATGTCTTCACATTTTCTTTAGCGCGGGGGGGGGCAGGTTTCAAGGCAGGATTTCTCTGGAACTAGCTCTTGTAGACCAGGTTGGTCTCAAACTCACAGAGATTCGCCTGCCTCTGCCTCTTGAGTGCTGGGATTACCGCCCGGCCACATTTTCAAATATGAAAATTCCATTTTTATCACTATGGTTTGCAGTAAGTGCTCAAAGTTGTTTTTAATTCTACTAGTAGCATTGAAGAAATCAATTTCATGAACATAGACAGACACCGTGGCATATGCTTATAATCCCAGAACTTGGGAGCCTGAGGTGGGAGAATTGTGAATTTGAGGCCAGTCTGTTTTTCACGTAAGTCCAACCGTCTTTAAAACCAAAGAAACAAACAGACATCAATATAGCCTACCATTTGAAATAAGTGAAATATTGAAGTCTTTTTCTCAAAAAGTGTATTTTATTAGTCTCCTTAGTTACAAAGTAGAAACATTAATTATTGAATACTTCTATAATGAAATCACAGAATATGGGTCCAAGATACAGCTCATTTGCCTAGCATGCACAAAGTTCTGGGTTTTACACACAAAACCAAGCTCAGTGATGTATGCCTGTAATCCCAGCAGTTGAGTTGTAAGGAAGAGAGTCAGACGTTGAGGGTATCCTCAAGTACGTACTTCAAAGCTAGTCTAGGTTATCTTAGAACCTGTCTCTATAAAGCAAACAAGGGGGGAAAAAAGGAAAAAGTTATAGAATATTTGTTGCAATTTTGTTTTTATAGCTTTGCAAAAAGCTTGGCGGCTCATGTGTGACAGCCCTGGACGGCTATTACGTGGAATCCATTATCTGTGTTTTCATTGGATTTGGCTGGTGGTTCTTTCTTGGTCCAAAACTTAAAAAGCTACAGGACGAAGGACCATCTTCATGGAAGTGCAAGAGGAACAACTAATGCCAACATCAGTGGACATTCTAGAAGGTAATCATAGTTTAGTTTTATTGATAAAGCTATGATAATCAGTGTGTAGGCGTATAAAATGTTGTTTAATTTTAATTTAAAATGTCAAATAGTTGAAAAATAGAAATTTCTTTGTATGTTTGATCATATTTTTCCTTGCCTTATCATTGTATTTGATGTTTACTTAAGGCCAGGAAACAACTCTTTTGGTTGTATTACTTGATTTCTGTTAATGTACTGACCAAAGCATATTGTAAGCTGTGGTGGAATGGGTGGTTACCATGCTGCCAAGTATTGTGTTAGTACCTGCTGTTGAGTTGTATTTAACATTTTGGTACAATGTATCAAGTGGGACAAACCTTAATATCCAGGTACTAATTAGCTAGTTTGACCTTATGTTAATTCTCACTTTAAATTGTAAATTTGTAAGAATTTATGTGGACTCCGATGCAAAGAAAATGTAGACTATTAAAAACATTGAGTTGTTTTTCTGACCATAACCACATTGTACAAATGAATCTGTTAAAAATAACTATTTTAAATGTAATTTTTGCTTTTGTAAGCATGAAAGATTTATAAGAAGATTGTTCAAACTATTTTTTTATAAATGAAAGCTATGGTTTTTAATTTATTGATTTCCCTATTCCTCACTTTTGGGGACGCTATTTTGGTTTCTTGTTAACTCTTGCCCCTAGGTTTATGGTATGGTTTTTGTCACAAGTGTGTCATGGCACATAGACAACTAATGAGGGGGATCAAGTTTGTGGTTTGTGTGTTTATGGCTGACTTGTAAAAATAAAACCTAAATGTCATTCTTACTGTAGCTTTTTAATTACCGTGAGAAGAGAATGTAAACTTACAATTAAATAAAATTTCAATTAACTAACACCATAAATCTTAGAGCTACTGGTTTAAAGAGAGATTTTTATGCCATTGATAAATTACATCACTCTGTGGGTGATTATTATTGTTTATCGTTTTGGTTTTTCGAGACAGGTTTTCTCTAGAGCTATGGAGACTGTCCTGGAACTCACTCTGTAGACCAGGCTGGCCTTGAACTCACAGAGATCTGCCTGCCTCTGCCTCCTGAGTGTTGGGATTAAAGGCCTTAACTAAGTGCCTTATTTGTGAAAATATTCTCATAATTACTTATGCCAAATCAGGAATGGTATATCTGGTTCTTTTTCTTAAAGATTTATTTATTATGTATACAGTGTTCTGCCTGCATATATACCTACATGCTGGAAGATGGCACCAGATCTCATTATAGATGGTTGTGAGCCACCACGAGGTTCCTAGGAATTAAACTCAGGACCTCTGGAAGAGTAATCAATGCTCTCTCCAGTCCCCAGTTATTTCTATTTCTTAAAAACACATAGTTTTTTAGTATTTACTGTTGGATCAAGTCCAGAGTGTCTGTGTAAAATTTCAAGTATGAATTGAATGTGATCATTTTTTGTTTTGATTTGTTTTTCGAGGCACGGTTTCTTTGTGTAGCTTGACTGTCCCAGAGCTCTCTTTGTAGACCGGGCTGGCCTCAAACTCACAAGACATCCACTGGCCTCTACCTCCCAAATGCTGGGATTAAAGGCGTGCGCCACCACTGCCCAGCCTAAGTTAATAACTTTTGATGAAAGAAGGCCAAGGAGTTGCTCTCTCCCCTAAACTATAACCCTAGCCCTTGGATCTTTTTTGAAATAGTGTCTGCTATGTAGCCTAGGATGACCTCAAATTTGCCTTAGTCCTCCTGCTTTGACCTCCCAAATACTGGGATTACAGGCATGTAAAAGAGAGTAACAGGCAAGAAATAAATTAGAACGGCAGCTGGTGAAGACCATGCTGGGCAGAGATTGCAGTCTGTCGTGGTCTGGAAGCTTTCTCCAAAGCTTGGCATCAGGATACCCTACCCCCACCCCTGGAGAGACTGCCTGTCCTCTACCTGCGGTCATCAGGAGAATGCTCCTGGGCCAGGAAGACTGACATTATATTAAAGCTGTCTCTATGCCTGGATGCCTGATTTATCCTCAGCGTGACCCTTGACACAGTTCTATGAGAAGCCTTTCCCCTGCTGCACATGTGGTGACGAAGACTTGTTATAGGACCCAGCTGCCACATCAACGCCTCATAATAGCCGTGTGCCACTTAATGCAGTTGGGGTTTTCCCAGGCTCCCATTCCCATACATTCCCTGTGCTCTGGAATAAAGTTGAGCTGATTCGCCGAAGTCATCTGCCGGAGGGTTGTCTCCAGCCTACTCAGAGCCATCAGAACCATGTCCCTGTTCCCTCCTCCCTCTCGGACCAGTGCACCAACGATCTGGAGGAAGAAGCAGAATCACAGGTAGCATCAGAAAAGGAAAAGAAGGGCTGGAGGGACCGCTCAACGGTTAAAAGCACTGGCTGCTCTTCTAGAGGACCCAGGTTCAATTCCCAGCACCCACATAGCAGCTCACAACTGTCTGTAACTCCAGACACGCATGCAGGCAAAACATGAATGCACATTAAATGAAAATAAAGAAAGGAAAAGAAAAAAATAGAGCCCAGAAATTGGGTTAGGGAATTGTTCCCCGAACAAATGTTATTCTAAGTAGATGAAACTGAACATTGTCTTAAATTCATAGAGTAAGGGGCTGGAGAGATGCCTTAGTGGTGAAGAACACTGGCTGGTCTTCCAGAGGTCCTGAGTTCAACAACCACAATCTGTAATGAGATGTGGTCCTTTTTACTGGCCTGCAGGGACACATGCAGGCAGGACACCGTATATGTAGTAAATAAATGCATCTTTTAAAAACCTAATGAGTCGGGGAAATAAAGGCACAGGAGAAAGGGAACAATTTGCTAGAGACAGAAAAAGAATATAGCATATGTCTTAATATTTTATTTTTAGGATTATTTTATATGTATTAGTGTTTTGCCTCCATATATGTATGCGTGTACAATACCTGCATGCCTGGTACCGAGGAAGGCTAAAAGAGGTTATTGGATCTTCTTGGACTGGAGTTACAGAGGGGTCTGAGCTGCCATGCTGGTTTTGGGACTTGAACCCAAGTCCTCTATAAGATTGGCAAGTGCAGCTGGGTGTTGGTGTGCACGCCTTTAATCCCAGCACTCGGGAGGCAGAGGCAGGTGGATCTCTGTGAGTTTGAGGCCAGCCTGGTCTACCAAGCGAGTTCCAGGACAGCCTCCAAAGCCACAGAGAAACCCTGTCTCGAAAAACCAAAAAAATAAAAAAATACATTAATCAAGAGGATCCACGTTTTTAAAAAGGTAGGTGTTTGGTAATTCCTGCTTTACACAAAAAACAGACACGGGAGAAGGTAAGTGATTTTTCTTTTTTTCTTTTCCTGGTTTTTCAGGACAGGGTTTCTCTGTGTTCTGGAACTTTGCTCTGCAGACCAGGCTGGCCTCTGCCTCCTGAATGCTGGTACTGAAGGCGTGCATCACCACGCCTGGCCGTAAGTGATTTTCCGGTCCCTCCCCACTGTGACACTGCTGAGCAGCTGATGTTGCCTTCTGGTTACCACTCACCTGTCCCTCATCACAATCCCTTTATGCCATCTAAATTAGCTCCTAAACAGCGACAAGCTTCACACTGCTGTCTCTCATCTTACTGTACCAATCCAGTGTACCATGTGCCGAGACTACAGGCGCATACGTGGTTTGTGTGGTGCTGGAGGGTGAACCTACCACTTTGGGCATGCTGTGCAAGCACTGTACCAACTGAGCTACCTCTCTAGCCTCAAGAACGAACTTTAAATCAAATTGTTTATCAGGGGTGAATTTTAGCTAGAAGACACATCATCCTTTGAATTGGGGAAGTAGGAGAACACTTAATGGGGAGAAAGGGTCAAAACTGGGAGCTGAAGTAGTTAGGAACCCACACTGCGCCTGTAGAGAGCCTGAAATCAGTCCCCACCCCCATGTCCCATGGCTGTCCATAACTCTAGCTGCAGTGGGACCCCTGACCGCCACCTGCGTCTGCTAAGGCACACGCATCCCCACGGAGACGGTGACTTAAATCTCTACAAGTATTTTTTAAGGTCGATTTTTGAGTTTTGTCATAAGTCACTTGAAAATGAAGGGACGGGCATGTGTGGCTGAAGCTTGCCCGGCCTGCAAGGGGTGCTGGAACAGATGCCTGACCCAAGGGAAGGGAGGAGAGTGAGGGCCTGGCCATGTTTGACGAAAAAGGCAAAGCCTGGGGAACGGATGGACGACAGGACCTCTGCTGGTGAGAGTGGGTAGTGCAGTGTTGTTGAGATGAGATTCACCAGCTTTGCTTTCTGACTTTCCAAGCAGCCTTGGAAGTCAAGAGGGACGTAGCCATGATGGCTTGGCCCTGTAGATAAGAAAGCATAACTAGATACTTCTAATCTCTAGAGGACTGTTTGGCTGTTGTCCATCCCTTTCCTTAGAACTGTCTGTCAGTTCTTTCACACATGCACAGCTAAGCAAGCAACACAGTTTGATACGCCAGTGTCACTCATAAAAGTGGAGAAGGCCTGGTTTGCGCAACATCGTACATCTGATTTCTGTAAGGTAAGCTCATGGGACTTTTTCATTTTTATAGTTTATGTTTTTGCAGCGCCAGGTGTTGTGATTTGAGGAAATCAGTGCTCCAGGGAAAGACGCCATGGGACAGGGTTCAAGCAGAGAGGTTTTTAAAAAACTTTTTAATTGGGGAAAGGGATCATAAGAAGGGGAGGGGGGGAGACTAGCCTGAGGGGGGGCACGAGAACAGGGGAGAGGAAAGAGGGTCAGGGAGAGAGAAGGATAGGAAGGAGGTGGGCAGGACCCTCTTAAAAGGGAACATATTGAATATGCATAGTTGGTGCTCTTAGTGGCAGCAGCTGAGGACACATCCTGTCAGGACCCAAAGGACAGGCCAGTACAGATGCCTGAATACTAACTAACACTAGGGATCCAGCCCAGGGCTTCACATGTTAGGAAAATTCTACTGTAACATTTTCAACATTTAAGTAGAGATGATAATGTAGTGAACCCGCGCAGACGTTAACAACAGTGCCCAGATTTCCAGTACTTGTAACACCAACTGTGAAGTTTGCCTAAAAACAAGCAAACAAACAAAATGTCCACCCACGAGCAACACTGACTCCTCAGCGACCACGGGTGAGAAAGCGTGGATCAGCACAGCCGGGAAAAGGCCCCACATCTGTGTGCAGGGTCTCAGTGCACACTAGCAGAGCCTGTCCTTCTGGAAATCAAGCTGATACCGAGACTTCAAACCCCCACCATAGTGGACTGTTAGACTTCCTTACCGGCTCAAAAGCTCCGGGCTAAAAGAAAATTTTATCAGGCAAGCTATTTCAGAAATTACCAGGTGCAATGGGAAAGGCCAGGTCTTTCTTTGGGCCAAAGTTAAATTCATTAACATAAGTTTCGGCTTAACGAATAGATACATGCCCATTTCTCTTTCCTCCATTATGTTCGGCATTAAAAATATTTAGAAAGTCAGGCACAGTGCAACATGCCAGTGACCTCTGCAACATAGACCGTTTCAAAAAAGGACGTGGAGCATTGAAGAGTCTCTGCCCGACAGGTAGAAAGTCCCGGGTTTGCTCTCCAGCACCATAAAATACTGCAGCTGGATGGCTGAGTGCGAGTCCAGCCTGGTCTGCAGAGCTAGTTCCAGGACGAGCCAGGGCTTACACAGAGAAACCCTGTCTCAAAAAGCAAAATTAAAATAAAAATAAAAACTTTAGAAAAATCAGCAAGAAACGGATCACGCATATTCACCCAGATTTCCTAATTGTTAATATCCTGCCCTATTTTTGTTGATGTTTGTTTTGAGTCAGTGTTGTGTTGCTCCGGCTGGAGCGGTGGCATCGCAGCACCCACTTCCCGGACACCGGGTGCAGGCGCCGGAGAGGGGAGGGGGACCCTGGGACGCGCAGCGCAGAGCAGCGCCCCCTGCCGCCCGCGGGGGGAAGCAGCACGCTCTCTCGCTCGCTGGCTCGCCGGACGCGGGAACATGGCGCGGGCGAGCCTCGGGTCGCGCTCGCCCGACCCGGACCGAGGGGAGGCCAACGTGGTGACGCGCGTGTCGCAGTGGGCGGACAGCCACCTGCGCCTTGTCCAGGTGCCACGGCCCGGCGGGGTGGGCTAGCCTGAGACCCGCAGGGACCCGGGGAGGCGACATCACACCCTTGACCGCTCCGGTGGCGGCAGCGGCCAGGCCCCGCTTCCTTCCTGCGAGGCTGGCACGGGACTGGGGGCGACACCGCAGGAGTGGTTCAGTGTGGCACCCGGTTCAGTGTGGCAGGCAGGTGACCCCGGAAGAGCAGGGAAGCCCAGTGGGCCTTCACAGAGCCTTTCCCCTCCTCCCCCAGGACTGGGATTCGAACTAATGTAAGCCATGTAAGCCTTCTAGTGCTTTATATATATATATAATTATACATAATATTATATATATTATTACATGAATATTATATATATCCCCAGTCCTGAGCAAAACAAGAGAAGCCACGGGATTTCAGTTAAAGAAGAGAAACTTGAGGTCCCGGTGGTGACGCGGACAAAGAAGCCGCCCCCGGGTCGATGGTGGTGGTGGTGGTGGTGGTGAGCGCTCCCGGCATGGGCGAGCAGCAGTAAATGACTGATTAGGAAAAGCCGCAGAGCTCTGGAACACGCAAACACCGGGGCTGTGCTCTCGAAGGTGGTCATTAGTCTTCAAAGCGCAGCTGCAGGTGGATGCCGTCCGAGGAAACCGGCCGTAGCCGAGTGCGCAAGGGAGATGGGAGCTGGGCGTACCGCTGAGAGCGAGCTACGTATAAACTTAGTGGCCGAGCGAGCGCGTAAGGTCCCGGACTTGGCCGACACCTGCAGAAAGCCACAGGAGAAGCTGGAGAAATGAGGCCTGGGAGTCTCCCTGCGGGGCCGATAGGGGGCAGAAGCAGAGACCGACGGAGCCTTGGGGAAGACAGGCAACTAGAGGCCAGGAGGGGAATGAATTTGGAGGGAGCAACTGCTTTCCCAAAAACTCTGCGCAAGTTGTGCTTTGCAGCTAGGCAGCATGTGAGGTCCAAGGCCCTGCCTGCTGACATGCCATTGTAGCCCTATCCTTAGAGCAGTCTAGTACCTGCCGTTTTGTATTAGAGAGTGCCAAATAAATACGTGTATTATGATTAACTAGGTTAACGTCCAACCATTTACACACACACACACACACACATTTACCCAATATGCTTGCCACGGTCCTGTATTCTAAGGTGTTTCTGTCAAATACGGAATTCACCATGGATGTAAAGTTAGAAATGTTAGGTCAGGGGCGCATTCGAGGGATTCACAGCCAAGGTAAAAAATCATTCACACTCAGATCCCCGTGCATGCCGCCAGATTTTGCTAAGGAAGAACCAGGAGGCAATCCTGTAGGAGTAAAAAGGCAGGATGATCGTTGCAACTGGGGACACAGCAAAGCGTCGGGGAGGACTGAGTCGCCAGCTGGGGCATTACTTGAACCGCTAGCGATCACGAGGGCAGCCTGCTTCCCCCTTTTTAAGTTAGCACGCTCACTGCTGGAAGTGACAGTTGATGAGACTTCACCATTGACTCTTCTTTCTGCAGAACATCAGCACTGGAATGGCCATAGCTGGAATAATGCTACTAATAAGAAGTGTTCGACTGGTGAGTCCAAAAGGCTTCAAGCTGTATTTTAGAATGATAAAACGTATTTTAAGATCTTGGTTGAGATCTAAAGCAGTGAATATATTTTAGAATCATAAAAAAGTGTAGAATTGTATAGTCCTTAAGTCTACAGATCATTTTGCATAACCATGTTTTTTACAGTAAAAAAATGATTCCATAAAGGATTTAGTCTGTTAAAATAGTATAATCACAAAACTTGCATTTCAGATACTGTGGAATATCTCAAGTATATTATATATTGCTTATAAGAGGCAGTAACAATTGGATAGTTATTTTCCTGACTTGTGCTAAACCACTAACCTAAATGCCAAAATTCTCAAGACTACGTGTAAGGAATGAGCTGGAGTAAAGAAAAAGCAAGCAGGTTAATAACTTACAAATTTTATTTATGCATTTATACCAGCAGGCCCTAAATTGCTGTTATCTCTAATCACATGATTACGATTCCATGAGCTGTTTCAACTGTTCAACAGACCATAACCTTTCAGCACACAGATCTTAATTTTCTGTAAACAAAATAGGATGTAGTTGGGTGTGGTGACTCACACCTGTATTCCTGGCAGTTTGGGAAACTGAGGCAGGATTGCTACAAGGTCATAGCCAGCCTAAACGGCTGGTGAGTTCCAGGTCAGCTTTGCCTGGGCTACAGAGGGAGACCTCGTCTCAAAACAAAACCAAAACCAAACAAACTAGGAGTTGTCTAGTTTCCTTGTTTGGGTAGGGAGTTGTTGGGACTGATGAAATCTTGTCTTTTAGGCAAAACTGTTTCTCAGGTGTTTTGCAAATAGACAATTATATTTAGATCAAAATATAAATTCCGATGTGGCTGTTTTTTAGTCATCGAACTTAAATGGTGAGATTACGGAGTCATCTGTTTAATTTGAAAGGTTGCAACTTTCCAGTATAACCTGGAATGGTTTCTCAGGCAGCATGGAGTGACAGAGTCTCGATAATGCTGGTTATCACTTTCACGTTGATTAATATATGAAAACAAGCCTACATAAATTCCTTATGTGTGCCCACACAAGCAAAAAACCCAGAGTGTACCGGACGGTGGTGGCACACACCTTTAATCCCAGCACTCTGGAGGCAGAGGCAGATCTGGTCTACTTAGTGAGTTCCAGGCCAGCCTTGGCTCGGGGAAAACAAAACAAAACAAAACAAAAAACAAACCCAGAGTGGGTCTTCTGAATCCAAGTTAAAAGTAAGTTCCGGGGCTTTGAGACGGCTCAGTAGTTAAATGCTCTTGCACGAGACTCGGAAATCTGAGTTTGATCCCCAGAAACCTTATGAAGGTGGGAAGAGAGAACATACTCCACAAAATTTCCCTCTGACCTCCATGTGTACAATTCACTCACACACACACACACACACACACACACACACACACACACACACACACACACACGAAAAATTTAAGATTAAGTCCTGGTTGAGTAATAACTGAGAAATCTCCCCAGCATTTGGATGAAGCTCTCCTCTCTTGCAGAGAAAATGTGCCATAGCATCAGATATTCTTTCTAGTATTAGAAAGATGTACAGTGTTATGTAAGGTTCTGAACCAGCCACGGTGATAACCCCAGGCACGGGTAGGTGTTGGTGGAGGGTAGAAGTAAATTTCCAATGTTGGCCTACCCACTTCTTTTCTTTTTAAAGGTTTGCTCTGTTTCCTAAATGATATTTAAAAAAATTAAAAAGTCTTGCCAGTTAGGAGTCTGTTTTGATTCAACACAGCTTTGCTTAGGATTTATATTTAGCAGTCTCTTATATATTAGCTTGAAGTAGAAATGGACGAGTAATAAGCTTTAACTCTCCAAAAACATCTTTAAGTTATTTACTGTTATATATACGCGTTTGTGCATGTGTGAGTTTATCTGTTCCAGATGCCAGAAAAAGGTGTCAGTTCTCTGGAACTGAGTGTTGGAAACTGGACCCACATCCACAGCCAGGGTACCAAGTGTCCTTAACTGATGAGCTATCTCTCCAGACTCCATAAACACTTTTGATTAAATATTGAAATGTTGATGTAAAAACTTTTATTAAATATTGAAGTGTTAAAGTTAATACTTTCATTGGCTATGTCTTAACTGCAAAATGCTTAGATACCTTCATGTTTTCTTTTTATTTTAAGTGAAAATTAAATGTTTTTCTTTGTAAATCAACAGACATCAAAATTTACAACCTCTTCAGATATTCCAGTAGAGTTTATAAGAAAGAAGGTTAAACTACGTGGCCGATTACAGCGGATAACTGAGTGTGGTCTAGAAATTGAACATATTCCTATTACTTTGCCTTTTGTATCTTCTTGGAAAAGTAAGTAAGATGCAAGAATTTGTAAAACCGGATAACTGTTGTAGTCATTATTGTGGTATTTAATAAGTAGACGCTCTTTATAAAGTAGCAAAAGTATACTAATTTCCGATTACTTTCCGTAGTCTATGAAAGTCTGAACCTGGCCTTATTTACAAGAGATTGTTTGGTCTGGCTCTGGAGTTCTTGTCTTCCTTCTCTGCTTTGTTTTAGTCGACTACCCAGTCTTTCACAGAGGCCTTCGGTTGTTCATACTACAGATGATGCAACCTGTTATGGCTTGGGACCGAAGATAACTGTACAGTGCTGAATGAAAACAAACACGATCCTTCTAACATTTGTAGCTCGCAGTCTTGGTGGAAGAGAGACAAAGTACATGTGAAATTTTGTTCTAATATTGATGAAGACAAGGAACAGAGTCCTAGGATAGATAACCTCTCAGGTCTGGTGGGGCTAAGGAAATATACAGCACTCAGAGAAGTTCTCATTGAGGGGTTGTTATATGCTCAGGTCTGAACATTTCAGTGGGCTAGCCAGGAACAATGCAGGTAAGAATGAGCTTGCATCTTTTGACAGTCTATATGAAGGCCCCTGTGGTTGAGACGGGAAAGACACATTGAGAGGACCGAAGGAGACTAGATGGGTATTAGAAGCCACATCGTTTCTCTAGTATTATTAGTTATCTCACTTCATAGCAAAGGTCCAGACACACACACACACACACACACACACACACACACACACACACACACACCTTAAGCCCCCATGTGAAGGATTAATTGCACAGGTGTTTCAATATGCTGTCTTTGTAGTATTCATTGTTCTGTCCTGCTTTTTTGAATTTGCTGTCTATCTTCCAAGCTAACTCGCTTCCTGTGCATATTATATATTCACATTTTTATCTTCTCTACCGAGGTATAAGCTCCTGATAGACATGAACAGTTCCCTGAAAACCTGACACTCACAACCTATAGAAAAATTCTGACTAGTTGATAGAGTTTGCATAGAATGAAATGATGGAGTTTTTGTTGTTGCTGTGATTGTTTGGTTGGTTTTGGTTTTAGTTTTTGTGTGTTTTGTTTTATAAGCGCTCTCCCTATCCAGTGAAGCCACTAGGACATGGCTAGAAAAGCTTCGGTTGGTTTTGGGTTTTGCTGTTTTGTTTTGTTTTGTTTTGTTTTGTTTTCTTTGCTGTTCAGTCCAGAACACCATGAATGCCTGATGAAAGAAACCTGATGTGCATCATTCAACATATGGTGGCCCCCACAGAGAAAATGATATGTGACTGACATAAATTATTCTTAGGAAAGAGATGTTTTTATTTTCAGAAGTAAAAAACAAAACAAAAACTTCTACCTAAAAATGACTTAGGAAGTAGAAAGTCACTACCCAAGGACTATTTTCAATGATGTAATAATATACTAGAACATAATATTTTTCATATGAAGGGAGTTATTAAGTCAGTGTGCCTGGCGCTTGAGTCAAAGAGTGCCTGCTTAGTGAGTTTGAGGCCCTGAGTTTCATTCCCAGCACTGTAAAAACAGCGAGAAAAGACTGCCACCCACGTTCCTGCCACCACTTTTACTATCTGGTTGATAAAATACAGCTAGACCTTGATGCTGCAATGATAAACGGCACACTTATTGAGTATAAGCATTTATTGTAGAAATTACTCACAAGAGAAAAACAAGAAACCCAGATGAGCCAAGTTTTTTCCGCCGAACTGGAAGCCGAAAAGACAGCAAGAGGTTCTGTTGATCAGTCTTTTATTCCTTCATCCGTACACGCCCCTAGCCATGCCCGCCACGCCCAAAAGTGGGCCTGGCTAGTGATGTAGTTCACCGCGTACGTCCATATACGTCTTTAGTGGCACCTAAAGTGGATGTGGTTAGTGGTGTGGTAAACTGCCCTTTTATTACCTCATTTGTATGCGCCTCTAATATGCCACATGGCTAATGGCGGAGTACCAAATTTTACTCTACAAGACCTTTTTTGTTTCTTATGTTTGTAGGACTCATATCTAGATCCTAAAAATTGAGGCCATTCTTTATGCAAAAAGTTTGGTTCAAATGACTGTTTGTTGTGTTAGATAACTGTTCTATAGCAGTGACCAAGGCAACTTACAAAAGGAAGCATTCAATTAGGGGGTTGCTTCCAGTTTGTGAGCACTAGTCTATTATCACCCTTCCTCATGACTTCTGTGACACCCCTCTCATGGTCTTTTATGGAGGTAGACAAGAAGGCATAAGCACATCCATGCCTACATATGCACAACTATGAAAAATTATGAAATGTCTGGACATGGTGGTGTACACCTTTAATCCTATCACTGGGGAGACAGAGGCAGGTGGATCTCTGTGAGTTCAAGACCAGCCTGGTCTACTGGTTCCAGGACAGCTAGAGCTACACATAGAAACCCTGTCCCAAAAACAACAACAACAAACTTATCAAATGAAATACTTAAAACACTTTACATTTCCAACAGTGATTTAGTGGATGTCTGTTCTTTTACAGCCTTATTGCATCTAGTGACCTTAGAAATAGGCAAATGTCTGCAATAATCACAGAACTTGCAATAGTTACAATATTTTTGAGAAATGTACATATTCCAAGGTGTTTCTCCTGTCCTAGGATGTTGTCTGCTGCCATGAATTTCCTTGAAGTGTCAGAACTATTACGTTAGAACACAACTATTGTGACATTTATTTTGTAATAACATAACTATCACACCTATTATGTCATGACACAGCTATCATGACTATTACGCTACGACATGGATATCATTATGCTGTCATGGCTGTGTTCTGGATAGCTCCATGTCTGCATGACCTAAGCTAGTTATCTGAAAGGAGGGAACCTCAACTGAGAAAATGCATCTGTAAGATTGGGCTGGAGTGGATTTTTCTTAGTGATTGATGGAGGAGGGCACAGCCTGTGTTCTATAAGAAAGCAGGCCGAGCATGCTGCGGGGAGCAAGCCAGCGAGTACAGAAAGCACACAGCTGTGTGCCATTATGTCATGCCACAGCCATGACACCTGTTATGTCACACCAGCTGTCACAACTGTGATGTCACAGCATGGTTATCATGACTGTTAGGTATGACATGGATATTATAACTATTATGTCACAACACAGCTATCATGTTGTAACATGGCTATTACAGCTATTATATTTATAACACAGATATACTATTATGTTATAATATAACTATTATATCTATTATAACATTGCTATTAGAACTAGTGTAGCAGTTAGGATTGTTCACAAATGTCAGTGTGTTTATCATAAGCTTACCAAAATGTTAAAAAATATTTATCCATGCTGGGTACAATGGCACAGGCATTTAATCCCAGCATTCAGAGTGGGGAGATCTCTGTGAGTTTAAGACCAGCTTCATTTACGTAGCAAGTTCTGGGCCAGCCAGGGCTACATAGGGTGATGCAATTTCAAAGCAAACAGATAACAAAGAGTTTGGTGATGAAACAAAGTCCTTAGTGATGTCATTTATCACGGAGACAGTGTCGTTTCATGTCATTCTCTGATTTTCCAGCTGTCCATATTTCTTTTCTTTCTCCTTTCCCTGATTTTGTGATCATCCACAGGACTCACATCCTTCCTTTCTGACAGAGTACCCTCAGCCTACTCTACGAGAGCCATGCTACTTCCTGGCCAACTTCTGGCATCTCTGCGCTGTCCCATTCAGTGAGGACTGGATTTTAAAAATCGTTCCTATGCAAGACTTATTGAAGGATGCTGGAGAGAAGACTTAGTGGTTTAGAGTACTTGCTGTTCTTACAGAAGACCTGAGTTTAGTTCCCAGCACTGTTTTGTTATAACATGGTTATCGAGACTGTTATGCATAACAGCTATCATAGTTATTATAACAGATACAAATATTAAGTTATAACAGCTGTCAAGACTCTTATTCCATAAAATGGCTATTACATCTGTTACATCAGAACACAGCTATCACACTTCTAATATCATTACGTAGTTAAATGACTATTATGCTATGCAAGATTTATTGAAGGTGTCTGGAGAGATGACTTTTTGTGGTTTATTCCCAGCAATTGTCATAATTGTCATGTTAGTTCACAACCATCTGTAACTCCAATTCCAGGGAATCCAATTCTCTCTTTTGAACTCCAACGGTAGGTGCAGAAACATACATACATACAAAGAATATTCATACATATAAAATAAAATATATCTTAAAATTTAAAAGATTTATTGAAGAACCAGAAAGGCAAAAGTTTCATATCATGGAAACAAAGCTGAAAATAGTAGGGATTAGTAGTTGTGTATAGGCAAGATGGCTCAGTGGGTTGAGGTGCTTGCTTCCAAGTCTCATTTGTGCAATTTCAAGGACCCACGTGGTAGGAGAGAAGCAACCTCCAAGTTACCCCCCAACACCATGCTTACGAGCACACATAAACACATATGGAAATTAACTAGATGTACTAACTAAGAAACAGGCGGTTGAGGACCAGCGAGATAAGTCAGCGTGTAAAGGTATTTACCACCAGGACTGAGGAGCTGAGTGTAATCTCTCAGATCACATGGTAGAGGGAAAGAGCTGACTCCCACATGTTGTCCTCTCATGACTACATGTGTGCTGTGCGTGCCTCACACACGTAATAAACACATGGAATACTTTTTAAAATGTAGAAGTGTGCCTTCTTTTTTTTTGAGATATTTTTTTACTATGTAGGCATGGCTGGCCTAGAATTAATTATGAACACCCAGGTGGCCTGAAAGGTGTGACAGTCCTGCCTCTGCTTTCCCAGTGCTGGGCTGTAGGCAGCGTACCCCCATACCCAGCCAGAAACCACAGGCTTCTGAAAGTAACATTTGCGTTTCTAAGAATAGTCAAAGGTTTTGGTGGAAATCTGAACATTCTCATACTCACTTGTTTTGATGGTTTATTAAATCATAATGACTTTATTCTTACTGGTTATATCATACTTTGAGTGCTCAACAAGAAATTGCCCCCCCTTTAAAAAAAAAGCCCAGTGGCCTTTATTCTGTGACAAATTGGGACACTAATGCTAAAATTGATAATGTTGAATAGAAGCCTTAATGAAAGATCGTCGGTGGTACTGGCAATATTCAGACATTAGGGCAGACTTCGGGATTTATTTGTATACCAATGACTTACAGTCATCTAGTTTTTAAAACTCGTTTATGTGTTTGTGAGACAAAGTCTTGCCAGGAAGCCCAGGCTAGCCTCGAAGTGTCCATACTCTTGCCACTGCCTTGTGAGTGTTGGGATTACAGCCTTGTGCTACCTTCCTCGAAGCAGCATCTAACCTATGCTGTATTTGTGTCTTTATCTAATTCCACATTAGCTGTACCACACAGTTTTTGCTAAGGGCACAATCCTCCCACCTACTGATGCTTCTTGGCCTGAAACTCAGGCTCAGGTTTTAGGAAACCCAAGTCTGAAGGAAAATGTTTACGGTTGTCAGCACAACCAAGTTTTAGAACATTTTTTATTAAAACAAAACAAAACTCATTGCTGGGCACACGCCTTTCATCTCAACACTCAGGAGGCAGAAGCAGGAGGATCTTTAAACTTGAGGTCAGCCTGGTCTACAGAATGAGTTCCAGGACAGCCAGGGTTGTTTTACAGAGAAACCCTGTCTCAGGGAAAAAAAGAAAAAAGAGTTGCCTTGGTCATGGTGTCTCTTTACAGCAATATAACCCTAAGACAATTTTTTTCTTTCTTTCTTTGTTTTAAAACAGGAAGTCCTGGCTGGTCCTGAACTCCTTATGTAGACCAAACTGGCCTTGAACTCACAGAGATGCACCTGGCTCTGCCTCCTGAGTGCTGGGATTCTAGACTACCACACCTGGCTTATACTTGTATTGTTTTAAAATGGAATATAATAAAAATAAGTGGTCCTTAATTTAGAGCTTGAGTATCTATAAATAAGCATTTATAAATAATGTGTGTGTTAGGGGTTTGGAGGCAAATGGCTTTGGACTTTGCTTTGTGGTCTGCCTCGACGCTAAACCGCTTTGTCCATCCCTCTCTTAGAAGAGCCATGCGGGGCTTTGCTGGTGAAGCTGGCCGGAGTAGAGCTCACTGACATGGGTAAGGTCTGGTTACAGGAAGAGCTGAAACCTTCCCAGCTGCTGTGGTTCCAGCTTCTCGGAAAGGAGAATTCAGCACTCTTCTGCTACCTTTTAGTGAACAAGGTAAGCAGGGCCAAGAAATAACTGACCCTGTTTTATTCTTAACGTGAGTAAGCACTTATTTAATTACCATTCTGAATACATGATGAGCTTTTCAAGCTGCTAATCATGATTATGTGTAAAGAACAAGGCGTTTTATTTTATTTTTTTCTGAGACAGGGTTTCTCTGCGGCTTTGGTATCTGTCGTGGAACTAGCTCTTGTAGACCAGGCTGGTCTCGAACTCACAGAGATCTGCCTACCTCTGCCTCCCGAGTGCTGGTATTTAAGGCATGTGCCCCGCCACCACCGCCTGGCTCATTGTGGATGTTTATGTCAGTCAAATAGGATTTCTAAAGGGACTGGAGATTCAAGCTCTTGCTTTAGGCAGTTGACCACCAACCTAGAAGTCCAGCTCCGGGAGACCCAGTTCCCTCTGCCGACACTGCACTCATGCGCACAGACTCACACATGTACACACTATTTAAAAAATAACAAGCTAAAGCCTAGAGATGGCTGAGTGGCCAAGAGCTCACATGGCTCTTACAAAGGACATGAGTTGGATTCCTAGCACCCAGATCAGGCTGATGACAAGCACCTGTAACCCCAGCTGGAGGAAGGGGGGATCAGGCACCGAAGTCACATGCACACATACACATCGGTAAAAGTAATAAAATAAATATTTTAAAAAATCAAATAAATAAAAATACGGGGCTGGAGGGCTGGCTCCGTGGTAAAGAAGGCTTTCTGCTCTTGTAGAAGACTAATATTTCGTTCCTAGGACCAACATGGTAACTTACAAAGGTCTGTAGCTGGAGTTCCAGGGATCCAGTGTTCTCTCCTGGCCAGAAGACACACACGAGGCTCACGTACATACATGCAAGCAAACATTTGTACACATAAAATGAAAGTAAATGTTGATTAAAAATAACAATGAAGATATAAAAAGAAATTTATAGAGAGGGAAGAACTTTCAAATTATTAATGACTTTAGCCATTGTAAATAAAAGACTATTCCCCACAAATTTACATATGCATGAGCATATATTTGCATATGCATGAGTAGATTGTATCACACTGCCAGTAGAAATCACTTGGGGAATTAGGCTTGGCAACTGGGAGTTACAAAGAGCAAGGATGTTTTCTGAAGGTAAACACTGCTTGGATATCCTGTGTTCACACTCAGAAGCTGTAAAAGTAAATGTCTTGCTCACGTGACTTCACGCCTACAGAAAACCATCCTCTGGAGTTGCTGTTCTCATTTACAGGTGGGAGTTGAAGGAACGTTATGCCTTGACTGGACTAGCCAAAGGAAGACTCCTTCCTGGTTAAAAAAAAAAAAAAAAAAAAAAAACCCACCTTCATTCTTCGTCCTTAGCTTGTTTTCCAGGTGAACAAATTATTCTGGGCACACAGCGTGATTCAGTTACTTCTGCTTGAACTCTAGTAATGCGTGAGACTAAAATTTAGTTGTTTTGGTTTGGCTCAAGGAAATGAGCTTATAAAATGTTTTAAACTGAGGCCAATATAATTTAACTTTTCATGAACCAAAATTTATTGCACCCAGAGAAATAATGTTTTCTCTTTAATTTTATTTCGAAGATTTTTTTTAAAAAAGATCATTTTGTTTGATAGATTGTTAGAAACTATTTCCTCATTTAAACCTGCAATTTTAACATTTTTAGATTAATTTTACATTAATTGTAGTTTACTTTTTGAAAATGTGTGTGTGAATGTGTTTGTACATGTGTCTGCTTGAGATTTATGTGTGTGTGTGTGTGTGTGCACGTGTACATGTATGTGGCTGAGCCTGTCAGAAAAGGGCGTCGAATCCTTCCGTGCTGGCGAGCACCTGGCTTGTTACACGGGTGCTAGGATGAAACTCCAATTGAAATGATTGTACAGAAAACACTTGCTTTTGTTGTTGTTGCTGTTGTTTTGTTTTTTTAAGATTGTATTTATGGGTGTGTATCTACATGTGTGTGTGTCTACCTGTGCAGTGTTCACAACCAACCAGAAGAGGGTGTTGGATTTCCTGGAGCTGGAGTTACAGACAGTTCTGAACTGCCCTGTGTGGGTGTTTGGAGCCAGACTGCAGTCCTCTGGAGGGTCAGCAAGCATCGTTAACCTGCTGAGCCATCTCTGCATGATCTACTTCACAGTGAAGCTGTCAGCACGTGGTTTTCATTAGTTTTGTTAGACTAGAGCAGGATCTGCTTTAGTCCCATGATTTCCTATGGGGAGGGCTTTTTATTGATATCATTACGAGTTGGGTATTCCAGAAACGAAAGTTTCCAGGTGGTCAAAGATTATTTGAAGTAGGTGTTTTTAAAATGTACATACTTGGGTTTGGAGAAATTGCTCAGCGGTTCAGGACAGTGACTCCTCCTGCAGAGGACCCAGCACTCACAGTGGCTTAAAACTGCAACTCTAGTTCCAGAGGATCCAGTGCCCTCTTCTGGCCTTTGCAGGCACTAGGCGTGAAAGTGTTGCACAGGCATACATAAAGGCACACACCCATACACATTTAAAAAAAGGAAAAAAAAAAACCCTACCTGTCAGAGACCCCCAAACCCTGTGACTTTTAACTTAACAATTTGATGCTGTTCCATCCCCTGTGACTTGTTTACCTGTTAGTTTATAGTTTGTTTTGCTGCGGGCTCTCATTGTACAAATCCTGTGCTCTGTTTTTTCCTCTGCACAGCCAAGAAAGTAAATAGTGCGTTTTATAGTTTACCATTTCAATGCTTCTTTGGGTTAGAGATCAAGGAGAACCAGTTGAGTTTGAGCAAGGCTTGCATGTGTATTATATCAAAAAATAAAACCCCCAGTTCAGCAATAGCTGTTTTAGGCCCTTAAACCCCTTTGCTGTTTTGCTGTTCTGTTTTGACTCTTATTGTGTGTGTGTGGTTCATATGTGTATACAGGAGTTGGCACTTGTGTGTGCACGTGTGGAGGCTGGGTGTTCATGCCAGGTATTTTGCTTGGTTACCATGCACCTTATCATCTCTTTCTGAACCTGGAGATCACCTACTCAGCCAGGCTGGGTGGCCATTGAGCTCCAGGGATTCCCCCGTCTCTGCCTCCCCAGCACTGGGATTATAAGCCTGAACTGCCATGCCTCGATGTTTATGTGGACCCTGGGTGTCTCCAAGCCCGTTTAGGATTGTTAACTGTTTCATTTGAGACAGTGTCTGATTCTGCAGTACAGTCTGGCCATGAGTATGTAAGTAATCCTCCTGCCTCAGCCTCATAAATACTAGGATTACAAGCATGTGCCACCAAACTTGACCTGAAGACCTTTGTGTTATATGTTTTTTTTGTTTTTTGTTTGTTTTTTGCTGTTCTCCAAAATGATAAAATTGTTGAGTTTTAAGGTTAAATAATGTATTATAACAACTTATTAAAGAATAATTTTCTTTATTTTTATTCAGGGTGGATATTTTAATGTGAATCTGAATGAGGAAATTTTGAGAAGAGGTTTAGGCAAAACCGTTCTGGTCAAAGGACTAAATCATGACTCAAAAACCCACTGGAAAATCCACAGGCGCTTACTTAAAGCTGAACTGACCGCCTTAAAGAAAGGAGAAGGAATATGGAAAGAAAAATCTGAAAAGGAAAGTTATTTTGGAAAATTCAAAGATTCCTGGAGAGAAAGATGGAAAAAGGACAGCTTTTTAAAAACAACTGGACCAGATTTCAACTTGACCAAAGATAGTTACTATGACAGGTTTCAGAGGGCTTGTGGGAGCTGGAAGGACCACGTGAGCAACTTCTCCTTAGTTTTAAAACTCAGAGGATTTGTGAGCCGCTTATACTTTCGGAGAAAATGATGGAGCACCCTCAAGGTCTAGAGGTGACCTCTGAAGAGTGAAATGCATATGTATGTGACCGCTTTTTGTTGAGTCAAGATGGACATTTTTCAGGTGACCAAAATTCTTGCCTACTGGTTCTTAAAGACTAAAAACATTGTTAACATAGAATCAGTTTGAATGAATTATGGTCAGGAAAAATGACACACTATCCAGAGGTACCTGGTAGAAGGATGTATATATGTATAACTAATGTTCTGCCTTTTTCTTCTCCCTCCCTCCTCCTGGTGCTGGGGATTGAACCTGGGGCCTCATGCACTCTGGATTAGCTAGCACACCACTACCGAGCTACATTGTTAGTCCTGTATTGCTAATGTCTCAAGAGAAAATTTAAAGATTGGCTGTTAAATTAGTTATTTTGGGCAGCCGGACTTAATAATCGTTTTTTTTCAATTTCATCAACTTTATAATAAAGGAATTTTTCAAATGTTTTCTTTCTGAGGACACACTTTTTCTCCCAGCGTCTCTCTAGCTGCTGGCAAGTTTGGGCTGGTGCCACAAGAGGTGTGGACACCATTCTTGGTAATAAAGGTAGCTAACCTCTCCCTGTTGTTTGATGAGAACATTACCCTTAAGACAAGGATGAGCCCGGCACTACAGAAGACACAAAGAAAGGGTAAAGCCAGCTTGGAGTTGGGCACGGTGGCACACACCTGTAATCCCAGCACTCAGTAAGTAGAGGCTGGAGGAGACGGAATTCAAGGTTATTCTTGGCTCGTAGGATTCAAGACAAGTTTGGATTAATATGAGACATTATCTAAAACTGAAAAAAAACCCACAAAAGGAAAAAAAAAGATCCCCCAAACCACTTTAATGTACGTAATAAAATCTTCCTTACAGTATAGGCCTCTTTTACGAGGTCAACAATATTTTGCTGTCAGAATGGAGTCTAAGAATGGAGTCATATGAGAGGAATTTGAGTGCTTGTGAGAAAACTCCAAGAAAACAAGAGTTTTGTAATCTCAGTTTCTTAAAAACAAAACAAAACAAAAAAACTAGAATGTTCTTGGAATGTGATTTCATGCCCCTCCAAGGTATACCAAAGAAGAATGAGTTTGCATCAGGTTATTTTCTACAGTTATTATTATTATTTATTTATATGCTTCTATGGAAAAACATGTTTTTGCCACATGTAACTTGTCCTTGTGGCTGTACATTTTACTTGGGTGACTCCTCTTAACCCTCAGAGTATAAATTGTCCGATGCTCTGAATAAAGTTGGCTATTGCATGAGACTTTAGTCCGCCTCATTTTTAGGCCTTGCTCTCTCAGATTCATGCCGCTAGCTGGAGTAGGAAATAGCCAACGTCCTCAAAAATCTGTGTAAGGAAGGGTTTGTTGTCATTGTTGTTTAGACATAGCCTCATTACATAGCCGTGGCTGGCCTACAAACCATTGTGTAGACCAAGATAGCTTTGAATTCACAGAGATCCACTTGCCTCTGCCTCCTAAGTTTGACCATGCCTGTCTAAGAAGAATTAAAAAAAAATGAGTTGTGATACCGAGAAAAGTCAGACCTAGCAGGCCCAGAGAGTTAGCTCCAGTTAGAATGTATGCTATAGGAGTCTGTCTTGGTTACTTTCTATTGCCTTGACAATACACCATAAGTAAAATAACTTTTCAAAGAACTCATTTAATTTGGGGCTTATGGTTCTAGGGGGTTAGAGTGCATGACCATCATGGTAAGGCACATTACAGTAGGCAGTCATTCATGGTCCTGGAGCAGTAGCTGAAAGCTAACATCTTGATCCACAAGCGTAAGGCAGAGAACTAAGTATGAATGAAAGCCCACCCCGAGTGACACACCTCCAACAAAGCCACACCTCCTAATCCTTCCCTAACAGGTCCACCAATTAGGGACCACGTAAATATACAAAACTTTTGTTGGGGGGGTTGTTAAGAGAAGCTTTTTCTTGTGAGGAGCCTTCCCGCCAGCCTGGTTCTAGAGCCGCGTCAGTCCCAAATAAACACACAGGAGGCTATATTCATTATGAAGCTGTTGGCCTTGCTTGTCTCTTACTGGCTAGCTCTGGTTTAAGTAATTACCCCATAATTGTTAATCTAAGTATGTCTCTTACCGGAGAATAGTTCCGGGCTCCTACCCCAATGGCGTTACATCTCGAACTCTCTGTGTTTCTCCTTCCCAGAATCTTCCTGGACTCCTAGCCCCACCTATCTAGATTCCTATTGGCCAGCAGTAATTTATTGACATATACACAGGACTTCCCCAACAGGGGGTGTCATTTTCATTCAAGCCACCATAGAAGGCGTGCTGTGAGTTTCCTACAACTGCCTGACTCTTTGTTGATAACCTAAGAAGGTTCAGACCCTGTAGAAGTTAAGCCTCATTCATTGAGCTCCCCAAGGTTCTGAAGAGTGTGTGTCTGAATGTGGTTTTGCATCTTTACCCTTTTTTTTTGTAGTAGAAATCTACATCTTAGATTTTATTTCCTGGCCCTAATACCGCAACAACTTTTATCTTGTTGTAAGGGTATGTACTATGTTTATAGAGAGTTAACATTTAAGTTCTTGTGTCTTACTCTTTCCCATTTTGGCTCATTTAAGTCAGTGGTCTCTGACATTTTATCTACCATGCTGTTGTCTTTCTAGCTGTGTCAGGGGAAGATGAGACTTCGCAGGTCTTTCACCCAGTCTATCCTCTCCTTGATATGGGGCAGTTATGGACAAACGAGCCGGAAGACCCCTGAAGTGGTCTCCATTGGCTGACTTCTTACTCTGTACCTAGCGGTAACACTTGTGATGGGAGATGTCATTCTGAAATCTGTCTCTTATTGGTTGTTGGATAAAGCACTGCTGGCCAATAGGGAAGCAAGATAGGTGGGACTAGGAGTTGAGGAGGATACTGGGAAGGAGAAACACAGGGAGTCACGATGTAGCCGCCATAGGGGTAAGAAGTCTGGACCCTTTCTCCGGTAAGAGAAATACTTAGATTAACAATTATGGAATAAATACTTAAGTCAGAGATAGCCAGTAAGAAACCAAGCAAACGGCTAACAGCTTCATAATTAATATAGCCTCCTGTGTGTTCATTTGGGACTGATGCAGCTCTGGAACCAGGCTGGCAGGAAGGCTTCTCTCTACACACTTGTCTCTAGTGGAGACATTCCACTGGCCAGCGGCTTTCTTTTGGATCCACACCTGCGTTATTGGCTTTATGACTGGTTGATGTTACAGACCAGTTTCTTTGATGGTGCAAGATCAAGATACTCCTGATGACCTCAGACACAGTGGATCTTTGTGTCCAGGGTTAGTTATAAAAAGCCATTTGGGAAAAAGTCCCACTTCAGCCCATGTTTCAGGACATAGGCTCAGTTTCTTTGCCCTTTTATTACTTGTTTCTGTTGCGACTCAAAACGTGACATCCCCAAATGTGGTACCTAGGCATAGCCAATATTTTAAGATGAAGGAAATTGAAAACAACAGAAAAATTCAGGAATGGGAGAGGGCCAGACTCTGGTCTCCTCTGGCCTTCACTTCCTGATAGCAGACCCGAAGATGCTCACCCTGAGACAGTTAAATGGACCTATCTCCCCTAGGGTGTCGGGCATATCTACAAAGCAGCATCAAACATTCAAAACCAATATTGCTATAATTCAACAGTGTTTTATTATTCCTATTTTAAACTGTGTTTATGCGTATCTGTCTGTATGTGGGTATGTGGACATGTGGGGTGTCTGTGAAGGCATCCGATTTTCCTAGAGATGGAATAATGGGCAGTTGTGAGCTGTCTGACGTAGGTGCTGTGACCCAAACTCTGCAAGGCCAGTGTGTACACGTAACTGCCAAGCCATCTCTGCAGCCTCAGCCTTACTGTTCTTATTCGAAGCGTTCCTTCTAATGCTTATTATTCCATAAATAAGCAAAAATATTGGGAAAGAGGGTGATTTGACACCTTCCTGTTGTTCTGGCTTCCTTGCAAAAAGGTCCCTCTAAGCAGTCAGGTGGACTTTCCACATGCACTTCAAGCACTCCACAGGTTCTTTGAAGACGTCAGCTCCTGATGGTGTAGCTCAAACTGTCATTTAAGGATAGTTACTTTTATTTATTTGTTTCAGTTTTTCGAGACAGGGTTTCTCTGTGTAGCTTTGGAGGCTGTCTTGGAACTCTGTTCTGTAGACCAGGCTGGTCTCGAACTCCCAGAGATCTGCCTGCCTCTACCTCCCAAGTGCTGGGATCGAAGGTGTGTGCCGCCACCACACAGCCTATAATAGTTGCTTTTGCTAAAAAGCATTGACTGATTACATGGACCCACAAAACAACAGGAAGCTTTATGAAACCTGATCTCTGGTGGGGTTGTCCTTATGTGTATATGTTTCTCTCATTGGTTGATGAATAAAACACTGTGTGGCCAGCGGCCAGGCAGGAAGGATAGGCGGGGCTACTAGAGGAGGAGAATTCTGGGAAGTGTAGACAGAGCAGAGTCGTCATGTAGAGCCTGGGAAGAGAGCACATTCTGGTAAGCCAAGACCACATGGAAATATGTAGATTAATAGAAATGGGTTAATAGTTAAGACAGAGCTAGACAATAAGAAGACCAAGCCACCGGCCAATAGTTTTTATTATTAATGTAAGTCTCTGAGTGTTCATTTGGGGCAAGGTGGTTACGGAACAGGGCAGGAAATTCTGTAACAGATCTCTGCCTTCGTTTTGTCTGTCTCCTTTATGTTGGGTCATCTGCTTACCTTTTCATTAATTAATCATTAATCATTCAAGGAATGTTTGTCTAAACTATCTCATCCACCTTTAAGGCAGAAGGGACAGAGATAAGTCATTGTTCTAAATCTGTAGTTGTCTTGGATTCCAAAGGTAGAAAACCCTCTTGGGAAAGATCCAGACCCCCACATAATGGTAATTATGCATGAGGGCGATGCCCCTGAAGCAGACATAATCATCTAATGAAGGCCATTTCGTTCTGTCAGTAAGAACTACTTTGGGCACACACCTTTAATCCCAGCACTTGGAGGCAGAGGCAGGCAGCTCTGTGAGTTTGAGACCAGCCTGGTCTACCAAGTGAGTTCCAGGACAGCCGGCCGGGAACTCAAAAATAGCCCCAAAAGAAAAAAAAAGTTCCTGTCAGTGCCCTGAAGGCAGACATGGGCCATTAGGCCCCTTTATCTGTTCTTTACCACAATACCGAGTTGGATAAATCTCATCTCCCAGCTTTTCTCAAGGCTCAGCTCTTCACAGGGCAGGCTGAGGATGAGTGACTGACTGAGCCTAACCTACACCAATCACTGGAGCCCAGGCTGTGACCCTTAACTTTCAGGTTGCATAGCTTCTGCTATGACTGTTTCAAACAGCTCGGACTGGACTTTGCTGGCAATGGTTTCCACACAGGCCAGAGGGTAGCGTTTTCCCTAGAGGCCTAACGGAGGGACAATATGCTGTCCCCTGGTGTTGTACAACTAGGCTCAGTAAAAGGCATCTCTTACATGGTAGGTTTGTTGTTGTTTTTTGAGACAGGCTCTCTCTGTGTAGCTCTGGCTATTGTAGAACTCATTCTGTAGACCAGGCTGGCCTTGAACTCACAGAAACCCACCCGTCTCTGCTTCCCAAGGGCTGAGTTCAAAGGTATGCACCACCTCTGCCCAACTACACAGTGTTTTTTTTTTTCTTTCTTTTTTTTGGTTGTTGTTGTTGTTGTTGTGTTTTTTGTTTTCGTTTTGCTTTAGTTGAGTAGGACGAGCTGGCATCGTGAAGACCACAGCAGTAAGAAAAGTGCCAGGCGGATCTTTGAGGTTAAGGCCAGCCGGTTCTACAGAGTGAGTTCCAGGACAGTCAGGGCTACACAGAGAAACCCTGTCTGGGAAAATGAATATAAATAAACAAACACATACATGAATAAAACAATAATGCAAATAATTTAAAACTAACACGTGGTTATGTGGTTTGTTTGCTTTTTTTTTAACTGCACTTTCCCCTTTGCTGTGTTTGTGTGGAAAAATAAAACCATATGGGATTATTTTTGGGGGGGTTGGTGTTAAGAAAACAAAGCAAAGCACGTGTTGGTAATAAAGGATGCACCCCGCTGGAATTCCAAGCTGTGGGGAAACAGCAAAGGTTCCCTTGTGTTATGAATTCCTACCCTTAGGTGTTTCAAACCTCTGCAATTCATTTTTCTCCCTTTCTCTCAGCATCTACTTCAGTTTTTCTTTAATACCTGCAATTAATGAAGGCAGCAGAGGATGGACAGCGAGTTCCACAATAGAAAT